ACCCCCTACTTCACCCCCGCCAACAACGGAGGGGCCGCCCTCCACCCGGACGACCCCAAGACACCCACGCTCTTCCGCCCATTGAAAATCCGCAATGTCACGCTCAAGAACCGCATCATGGTCTCGCCCATGTGCATGTACTCCTGCGAGTCCGACCCCTCCTCGCCCCTCGTCGGCGCCCTGACAAACTACCACCTCGCGCACCTGGGCCACCTCGCCCTGAAAGGCGCGGGACTCGTCATCATCGAAGCCACCGCCGTGCAGCCCAACGGGCGCATCTCCCCCAACGACTCCGGACTCTGGCAGGACGGCACCGACTCGGAACAATTCCTCGGTCTGAAGCGCGTGGTCGGGTTCATGCACGCGCAGGGCGCCAAGGTCGGGATCCAGTTGGCGCATGCCGGCCGGAAGGCGAGCGTCGTTGCCCCCTGGCTAGCCGCGCAGGCTGGGAAGCCGAGCCTCAAGGCAGACGAGAGCGTCGGCGGGTGGCCGGCGGATGTGGTTGGCCCGTCCGGGGGGGAGGAGCATATCTTCAGCCCCGTGGAGGATGCGTACTGGGCGCCGCGGGCGCTGAGCACGGGGGAAGTCCGCGAGGTGGTGGCGGCTTTTGCGAAGAGCGCGCGGCTGGCGGTGCAGGCGGGGGTGGACGTGATCGAGATCCACGGGGCGCACGGCTACCTCATCAATCAGTTCCTGAGTCCGGTGACCAACCAGCGGACGGACGAGTACGGCGGGAGCTTTGAGAACCGGACGCGGATCGTGCGCGAGGTTGCGGCGGCCATCCGCCAAGTCATCCCCGAGGGGATGCCGCTGTTCCTGCGCATCAGTGCCACGGAGTGGTTGGAGGGTCAGCCTGTCGCGGCGGAGTCGGGCAGCTGGGACCTGCAGAGCTCGCTGGAGCTGGTCAAGAAGCTGCCCGAATGGGGCATTGACTTTGTGGATGTCAGCTCGGCGGCGAATCACAAGGACCAGAAGATCAACCTGCACACGGCCTACCAGACCGACTTGGCCGGGCAGATCCGCCAGGCCATCCGAGCGGCGGGAGCGTCGACTCTTGTGGGTTCCGTGGGTCTGATCACCGAAGCGGAACAGGCGAGAGGACTGGTCCAGGGAGCGGACGAGGCGAGTACAGCCGAGGCAATGCTGTCGGGACCTGAGCCCAAGGCGGATGCCATTCTGATGGCTCGTCAGTTCATGCGCGAGCCGGAATGGGTGTTTTCGACGGCGAGAAAGTTGGGCGTGCCGGTCACTGTCCCGATGCAGTTCGGCAGGGCCATTTGATCTTCGATCTATAGAGATAGACATAGTGCATATCACACACAGTATTCCACCATTATAAGCAGAGAACAAATATCCCTCTTGTATATGATGTATAAGCAATCGGCCATCGGAGCCCTCCGGCTGCACAGATGACTCAGCCAGCTTATGCACTGCACCACCAGTGACGCCTTAAAGCCCGATCACCCCGCAATAACCAGCACTGTGGGATCATCCCTCTAGAATCAACTTTGAGCAAGAAATACATTGTTAGCGACAGTAGAAATGGCCCTCAAACCCGGCGACAGCTTCCCTGACAACGTTGTCTTCCAGTACGTCTCCCCTCCACATCCCCAACAAGTCTGACCAGGCGGTTAGGTACATTCCCTACACCGAGGAAAGCAGCGAGATCACCGCCTGCGGCATCCCAATCAACTACAACGCCTCCAAAGAATGGGCCGGCAAGAAAGTCGTCCTCTTCTCCGTTCCTGGTTCGTTCGTTCGTCCCGGGATCGTTAGTTGCGCATCTATCTGACGAGCACAGGCGCTTTCACCCCCACCTGCTCCGTCAACCACGTGCCGGGGTACATCAAGAACCTCCCCCAGCTGAGGGAAAAGGGTGTGCAGGTTGTTGCCGTCGTGGCGTCGAATGATCCGTTTGTCATGAGTGCCTGGGGCAAGGCGAATCAGGTCAAGGGGGATGACATCGTATGTGGTGCAACTACTTGGAGGTGAGGAGGCTAACGGATGTAGCTGTTTCTTTCCGATCCCGAGGCGAGGTTCTCGAACAGCATTGGGTGGGCGAATGCGGGTCGGACGGGCCGGTATGCGATTATCATTGACCATGGGAGGGTAACGTATGCGCAGATTGAGACGGAGAAGGGGGTTGTCAAGGTATGTTGTCCTTCTGGTAGAGGATGGAGGGTTCTAACCGGGGCAGGTTTCCGGTGCGGACGCCGTTCTGGCGCATTTGTAATTGACTTGCCACCCGAGTAACGGGGTAATGATATGGACGTTATATAGATATTGAACATGTCACTGCCACTACGCATATACATCGTTGGAACGACACCCACGCTGTCGGCCAGTCTATTGGTCAAGCACAAGTTTAGCGACGACAGCCACCGCCGGGATCCAGACAGCGGGATTCCCCAGAGACAGCTGCCTCGACGCAGCCGCTCCATTCTTCGTAGACCCAGTCGTAGCAGCGCTGGCCGCCCCAGCGCCGGTCGCCCCGGCAGTCCCCGCACTACCGGTCCCAGTCGCCTTGACCTGGTTATTCTTCCACGGCGACGCCGTCACGGTGTACGTGACGCTGGACTGCGACCAGGTGAACACCGTCCCGCTCGGCGGGGCCGTCAACGCATTCGCCGCGCCGGTATTATACAGCGTCTGCGTGCCGTTCGGGGGAAGGCTATCCGGCTTGTAGAACGTGCTCGAGTTGGACGACGGCGGCGCAAAGCCCAGACTCCCGCAGTCGTACGCATCCAGCACGCTCCCGCACGAATCCCAGTGGACAACGGCGCCGTAGACGGTCGAGGCTTGAAGCCAGAGGTCTGCGCCCATGTCGGCGGGGACGGTGTCCGGGCAGGTCTCGTACATCCTGTTCCGTTCGTTAGTATCGATGAGGACGGGGCGAGTGCCACACGTACGCGGACAACCCGGCGCTGACCTCGCAGCATCCACACGCGGTATCCTTATTGCTCAGTTCAATGACGTTCGTGGTGCTCGTGTTCGTCAGGCACGCGCTGAACTCCTTCTGTGCGTTGACGGTCGCCTGCAGCACCTTGCCGAGGTTACACGAGCAGCCGCCGGGGGCGTGATCGGGCGCGGGCCAGAAGGGGATCGGTTCGGAGGCCGTGGGACATTGCGCAAAGTACATTGCTACCAACTTGTCGTATTCGCACGAGTACGCCTGCATCCAGGGATCAGGGGTGAGATATATGCATGAGGGACGGGGAGGCAAGGTACCTGATTCCAGCACGATTCGGCGACGCAGTTCATGTAGCCCTGGTACATGGCGCATCCGCAGCCCAGGACGCAGATCTTGCTTCCACTGCACATATCAATGCATGCCTTGCTGTCCGCGAGGGTCTTCGTTGTGCAGCTGGTGAAGGCGGCGGGGTCTGCGCAGACATCGGCGGTGATGTTGGTTTGCGCGAGTGCCAGAGTAGCAGCCCCTGCTGCCGTAAAGGCTGCGAGCGTCATTCTGGCGAACATTATGGATTGCGAGTTTGAGGTCTGAGTAGCTAGAAAGAGGCATTGAGAATCTCCGGCGGGGATCGATCTAGTATAAATGCCTTCCTGCAGCCTAGACAACAGCCTCAGCCTTCCATCGGTCGTGGCCTTGATTCCGGGACAAGTGCAAGGCGCACTCTTGAGCAGTGAGCTCGATAGCTTGTTCCGATTAAGCCAGTGGGCAAAGAGAGCTGGTTGGGCATTGCTGCAGTAAGCTTCTGCTGTGGATGCCTTTGGTCCCTGTCCCTGAACCCAGATTGGGACAAGCAAGTGACTCCGTATCCAATGGCTTCTATTGTCGGATGCTGTCGGGGCGGCTGAGTGTTTGTGGCGTTGAATACGAGCTACTTCGCTTAAGCTGCATCTATTTGGGAAAGGTTGTCTTACAGGGCAGATAAAGGATAACCAAGATCATATTTATAAACGGCTCAGAACAACAATGATAAATTGGCATGCCATGGCCATGTGGCGAAGTAATTAATGTACCTCAATAGCCTAGAGTAACAAAAGAGCAATGGCACTGGTACTTTATCCTGTACGAGAAACTTGTTTATCTGTTACATAGTCCAGGCCCATGGGAAAGACCAGTGATGGGGTCTACTCTTCGCGAAACAGTTGAGGATAACATGATCCTAGTAAGACTTAGCTGTCAGATCAGGCTATACTAACTATATAAAGTTGCTGCGCTCTACCACCAATGCAGTGCCATATCTTAATCATAGGTCATTCATAAGTATAGTGTCAACTCTAAGAATAATTGAAGGTGTTCTATTTAGCGAATGAATCAGTAAATCAGAAAGGGTCTCAGAACAGGCACAAGTTATCTGACGAGGCCACTTACAGTATATAATAAAGTAGGTCTCCCAGATGCTATAGCAGTTCATTGCACACCCTCTTAGCGGATATTAAAGAAAGTTTGAAAAATGTAAAGCCTTCTTCTGGTGTGTGATGTGTTACCACAGTTTAAGTTGATAAGCCAAGCTGCATCAAGCTATGCATACATAGCTAGGCAAGGAGACATGCAATTCAGGAGCAGTCATCAGGTGTTGGATAGACTGAGAAGCTGGCGAGTTGTTTATGTCAAAGCATGATCGTGTATGATTGTAAGTCAGAAGTCTACTATGCTATCGAGGATGATGTTTAATAGCAATGAGACTCACGTAGGCATTGTTACTCCCTAGATGTCTGGTTAATGATTTTTATCATCAAGTGCCAGTGCGATGAAAGTCATGTTTCATCCGAGGATATGTATGCTCATGAGAGACAATATATACCCTTCATTGCATGTGTTCTTTGCTTAGAACCACGAACTATATCTCAAGCCAGTGAATATGAAGCCGTGTAATAAGACTCTCTAGAAGTCCTGTCCTAATTCTAGTATAATCTTTAATACTACTCAATGGATGTGGTTGCAGTATAAAGACTTGGAGTAAACATCAGGTCGATCCCTGAAAAACAGGGCGAAAATCCCGACATCCCAAGGCATCGAAGGTCACCATTATGGACAGAATTCGAAAGTCTCCCCGAGGTCTACTTCTACAGGGTGTTCTCTGAAGATACTCAGATGGACCAATTTGGACCAGTATATCTGATTAAGACCATTCCAGTAACTATATCTGATTAAGACCATTCCACGTGTTTCCAGAGAATAACCAAGCATCACGGAGACTTTTGTCGGTCTCGGGGCAACCTTGTTGAATCTTGTCCACACGGTGGAGCAGCCGATGCTCAAAACTAATCCGAACGAATGGCCGTTCTCAATCAGACCGCGAGACTACTGTCCATGATTATTGTAGGCATGTAGGATCCAGAGCATTCCAAACCCCGAAGACGCCCCGCAGCAGCTGTCCACCAGTGATGTCATCGATGATCATCACAGACAGACCTGAGCATAAGGTATATAACGTATACAACCCCTCTCCACGCCACTTGTTGAATCACTGAAATCGACGTCCCTCAGAATCAGAAGCAAAGCAAAATGGTTCCGAAAGTCCTCGTTGTCTTGTCATCTCAGGATAAGATCCCTGCCAACGGTCATCCCACCGGCTGGTACCTGGTATGTCTGTCTACACGCCATGAGACAGAGCATGACTCCTAACCTGAATAGCCCGAATTCGCTCACCCATGGGAAGTCCTCCACGAGAAGACCGAGCTGGTCATTGCCTCGCCCAAGGGTGGTGAAGCACCCCTGGATCCCGCCTCCGTCAAAGCCTTCGAGAACGACCCCGTCTCGACAAAGTTCCTCAACGAGCAAAAGGCCCTCTGGATGAACACAGTCAAGCTGTCCGATGTGCTTCCCAAGGTGTCTGAATTCGACGCAATTTTCTATATCGGCGGTCACGGCCGTATGTTCCCTTCTTTTCACACTCACGGAAATGGTGGAAAAGTGCCTGGCTAACGAGTGTAGCAATGTTCGACCTCCACTACGATGAGACCTCCATCGCTCTGATCGAAGCCTTCGCCGCCGCCAAGAAGACCATCGCGGCCGTCTGCCATGGTCCGACCGTCCTGCTCAAGGCCAAGGCGCCGTCCGGGGTGCCGCTGCTCTCTGCTTGCACCGTGACGGGCTTCTCCAATACCGAGGAAGACCAGGCGCAGATGTCGTCTGTTATGCCGTATATGCTGGAGGATGAGCTGCAAAAGGTCACGGGGAACCGGTACGTCAAGGCCGAGGAGCCGTGGGGGGAGAAGGTGGTGGTCTCCAAGGCTGCCAGCACGGGGGCCACGATCATTACGGGACAGAACCCGGCGAGTGCGACGGGAGTTGGTAAGGAGATTCTCAGGGCGGTGGGTGTGGCTTGAGTCTGCGAAGGGTGTACATAATCTGAAGAATTCTCTATTATGAATTAATGCTCATGTTACATCTACTCGAACAAGGTCTGCCGCCGGTCTCCGGAGCGCGTTACCCCTCCCCTCTCTAGATTAAACCTGCAGCTGTCGATCACAGAGCATCCGGCGAATCAGCAGCGGTGCTTACCGGGCGTGGCCGAGATATCGATGCCAAGATCTTGCCGACAAGTCGATGATACGCCGCCCTTGCGTGAAGATGCTTTATCACTGATTCTACGACTGGACGACGAGGAGATGTATCCTGAAGCAGACTGGTAGTATTGTACGAACAGCCAATCATTCTTGGTGATGCGCTCTGAGGGACATTGCCAAGAGGCCGGTATACTGCAGGGGAACCTCGTGAAGAGTTGACTGGAGTCAGGCTGCGAGGGGTTCGAGGACATGAAAGCCTGTCGTAGAGATATAAATCCTTGGATCCCGGGGATAGGCCGGGTCTTGCATTTCTTCACTTCTTGTGTGAGTATCTCGGCCAAATACCATCAACATGACTCGTCTTCTCCTCCCACTCCTGCTGGGCATCCCCCTCGTCGCAGCCATCCCGGCACCAGTTGCTCTCCCAACCCCTCCCGGAATCCCCTCGGCCGCTACCGCGGAGTCCGAGCTGGCCGCCCTGACTGTCGCGGCGCAAGGCTCCAGCGCCGGATACTCGCGCGACCTCTTCCCCCACTGGATTAGCCAAGGGGGGTACGTGCAGCCCTTCTGCCTTGCAAGCCTAGCTAACCGCTCAGCTCCTGCAACACCCGCGAGGTAGTCCTCGCCCGTGACGGCACCAGCATCGTCAAGGATTCCAGCTGCTACCCCACCAGCGGCTCATGGTACTCTCCCTACGACGGTGCCACCTGGACCCAGGCCAGCGACGTCGACATCGACCATGTCGTTCCGCTCGCCAATGCCTGGAGAGTAAGTCGGCCACCCCGACTTCTGGAATCTGCTAAATACTGTCGACAGTCCGGCGCATCTTCATGGACAACCGCGCAGCGCCAGGCGTTTGCGAACGACCTGACGAACCCCCAGCTGATGGCTGTGACGGATAACGTCAACCAGGCCAAGGGCGACGACGGACCGGAGGACTGGAAGCCTCCTCTGAGTAAGTTTCCTTTTCTGGGGTGGATGCGGATGCTAATGGGTTAGCTTCGTATTATTGCACGTATGCGAAGATGTGGGTGAGGGTCAAGTATGCGTACGATTTGACCATCACCTCGGCTGAGAAGAGTGCTCTTGTGAGCATGTTGGATACTTGCTAGACTCTGAATCTGAGAGGACAAGGTTTTCAGCTAGCTCAATAGGAAGACCAGAATATTTGTACAGAGTAGATAGATCCTAAATGCTCAAGATTCTGCGCCCTCGGGATCTCGGCACCAGATAATTTATCCTGATGAGCAGTTGAGCAATATAACCAATGGGAATATGTCCCCACCATGTCACTCCAGCGAGCAAGACTAGAACGAGCTAAGCACCCGTAGGCTGAGGCCAACAGCCGCTAGAGTCCTGAATTCATCCGACTGTTCCACTCTCGACCTTCCAAGTGGTTGTCGATGCAACGCTGCCCGGGATAATGTGAGCTAGTTTCTCATTTATATGGGCTCACTATTTCCGGCCATGCGACTGGTTCTTTTAAGCTTCCTTGTCCACGCTACAAGCACTAGATCCAACACATTGCGCTTGGAAACAGGGGTTGTGTCTGAAATGAGCCTGAAATGAGTTCGAAATCCAGCAGTACAAAAAGCCGCCGGCCCCTCTGCACGGTCAGACTGCCTGATTATCGTCTTTCAAGCCCCTAAAATGAAAGGCTTTTCTTTGGCCCTGGCGCTCACGGCCGGTTCGACTGTCAGCGCTCTATCGCTGCATAGACGCGACGTCCCGGCTGTGGTGGAATTTCCCATAGAACATAGACGAAATGCCGAGTCCCTACAGAAGCGCGACCATACCGTCGAGGTGTCGCTTCACAATACGGTAAATTCGGTTGCCTCGATATCCGGACAATTGCACTGATCATGATAGGTCATGGGTTACTACATGCTGAACCTCACGCTGGGCGACCCCGGACAGGCTTTTTCCCTCGCCTTGGACACCGGCAGCAGTGACACCTGGGTGAATACAGCCAAATCCGAGTTATGCTCGGCGAATGACCATCCATGCAATGCCTATGGCGTGTACAATGCCAGTGGCTCGTCCGGCTACAAGACCGTGGGCACGAGGATGAATGCGACATATGCCGGGGGTTCTAGTATCGAGGGGCCGTATGTGACGGATAAACTCACCATTGGGAACGCGAAAGTGGATGATTTCCAATTTGCGGTTGCAGAAAATACCACAATGGCCAGTAAGTTCTCGGCTTCCCATCATGATCGCACCAGCGGTTGCCGATGCTAACGTGATGCAGTGGGCATTGCAGGGGTGGGCTACCGCATCAACGAGTACCAGGCCTCTCACGACTCAAAGATCTATGCCAATCTCCCTCAAGCCCTGGTCGACAGCGGAGCGATCAAGTCCTCCGCATACAGCCTCTGGCTCAACGACCTGAATGCCAACACGGGCTCCATCCTCTTCGGCGGCGTCAACAAGGCCAAGTACACTGGCGACCTGCAGACCCTCCCCATCGTCCCCGTCAAAGGGCGCTACACATCCCTCGCGCTCGCTCTGACGGGCGTAACCGTCGAGGGCAAGGACACCAACAGCTACACCGATACGCTGCCCCTGGCGGTGTCCCTTGATACCGGCAGCATCTTCACCATGCTTCCCGAGGACCTGGTGGACAAGATCTACAACGACCTCGGCGCGAAATACATGGAAAAGGAACGCGTCGCCTACATCGACTGCGAGATGATGAACAAGGACTACAACGTCACCTACACCTTCTCCGGCGTCAGCATCACCGTCGGAATGAACGAGCTCGTCCTCAACTACGTCTACCCGGACTTCCCCGACGGAACATGCTTGTTCGGCCTCGTCCCCAGCGCAGAGGGCGTGAACCTCATGGGCGATACCTTCCTCCGCAGCGCGTACGTCGTCTACGACCTCGCCAACAACGAGATCTCGCTGGCGGCGACCAATTTCCACCCCGGGAACGACGACATCCATGAGATCGGGACGGGCGATGATTCTGTTCCCGGAGCGACGCGCGTGAAATCCGCTGTTTCTTCCGCCACCGGGAATGGGGTCGAGTCTGCGACGGCGTCGGCGGTTGTGGTGACGGTTACCGGGCACACGGCCGGTGCCACGACGACAGGAGCTACGGAGCCGGCGGCGACGGGCACGGATGCTGGCAAGACTGCTGCTGGGGGTGCTACGAGCACCTCGTCCAAGGGGGCTGGTGCTCTGCCTACGAGTCATTCTGGGTACCTGCTTGCTGGATTGGCGGGTCTTCTTCTTGTGTAGGCATCTATTACTATAGTCATTATCCGTCGAACAATATGGTGATGTTGGCGATACTGTCTAGAATAGTTAGCTGCGTCAGCCCAGACAGCAAGTGGGACGCCTGAAATTAATGCTCTAATTCATTCTGAAACTCCCATCTCATTGGCTTGCTGGCCAGTACTACCTGATGTAGCGAGTGAGGGATGTTTCACCCTCTTATTGGACAACGGACTTACCGCACGGCTAAAGATCACTAATGCTGAATTGCTGACCGACTATCTAAACAGCGAGCGCCATCTCTCCCATCCAACCCATTCATCCTCTACAGCAATATGACCAAAGGCTCCGTCCTCATAACCGGCTGCAGCGACGGCGGCATCGGCTCCGCCCTCGCCCTCGCCTTCCAAGCAAAGAACTACCACGTCTTCGCCACAGCACGCGACACACGCAAGATGAACGCTCTGCGCGATCTCCCCAACGTCACGCTCCTCACCCTCGACGTGACAGACCCAACACACATCCCCACCGCCGTAGACACCGTCCGCAACCACACAGACGGATCACTAACCTACCTCATCAACAACGCCGGCCGAAACCACTTCACGCCGGTGCTGGACGAGGATCTAGACGCCGCGCGCCGAATCTACGAGACGAACGTCTTCGGTCCGCTGGCGCTTACCAAGGCGTTTGCGCCGCTGGTGATCAAGGCGCGGGGGAGCATGGTGTTTATTACTTCGATTGCGGGCTATGTGAATACGCCGTACATGGGTAAGTCTGTCATTCCCGATGGAAGATCTATATTGATGGAGAATAGGAGTGTACAGCGCCTCCAAGCGCTCCCTGGAGATCATCGCCGAGACCCTCCGCCTGGAAATGGCCCCGTTCGGCGTCAGAGTTCTGTCGGTTGTGACCGGGGCGGTGAGAACGAATGGGCAGGCGTATTTTGATGACCTCCAGCTCCCCGAGGACTCGCTGTACAAGCCTATCGAAGAGACTGTGGCTGCTCGAGCGCGCGGCGAGGACGGCGTGGCGCGTATGCCAGCAGAGGAGTATGCGGGGCATGTGGTGAGGGCGATCACGGCTGGCAGACAGGGGAAATTCTGGTGTGGGAATATGGCTGGGAGTGTTTGGTTTGGGTCGACGTATTTGCCGCAGTGGATGATGGTGAGTTTCGTTCTTTTCGTTGAGCGATGCGATGCTGATGGTTGTAGGATACTGGTATGGCGAAGGGGACGGGGTTGGATCAGTTGGGTGACAATGCTGCAAAGAAGGACTAGAAGAGCCCACAGCAGCCTAATAGCCATCGCCATCCGCTGCGTCTTGTTGAATTCGCTTGTTTCTCGTTAATTGGGGTGGGTTCGCAGTCCTCCGGGTCATCTCTGTATGTCTCTGTACGGAACGCAGCGATGGAGGCAATGTCCAGAGAAAAGTCGCCTTCTTGTGTCCCGAAGAAACTGCACCTGTCAATACCGATTTTTTTCTGCGAAATGAACACATACCTGCGAATCATAATACTAATCCGCTTGACATTCTTCAGATCCAGCGGCTCCGCATCCTCAACTTCCCTCCCGCGGTACGTCGCTCGTATATCCCCCCATTTCACTCTCACACTGCCCTTCTCCGCCATCTGGAAGTCGTACTCCCAGCTAATCGTACTCTGTTCACGTCCGTCAGGCCGCTTGGGCAGGATCTCGTCTTTGAGGGTGAGCGTGTACAGTTTCCCGTCGGAACCGGTGATGCTCAGCTCGAGCCCGTCGGCGTCGGATAGATCCCAGGATAACTCGTCCGTTGTCCGCTGCGAGGCAAAACCTGCTCCGCCGAGGGTGGTGATGTCCAAATGTCCGTGGAATTGGGCTGTGTTGTTCGGCAGGATGGTAAGGCTGGACTGTGAGGAGCCGCCCCGGACGCGGTCGTCAGAGGAGGTCCAGTTTGTGGGGGACCATGGTCTACACCATTAGTATGTGTTAGGAACCGTAGAAAGTGACTTACCGATCACCTCCAAAAAGGAATGTCCGGGATAATGGGGCCATTGAGCTTTTGGGTAGGGTATGAAAGGATGTGTAGTGGATTTGGGATGCGGATGGGAATATTTGTTGAAGCACGATCGATCGATCGGAGTACAGGATGGATGACGTAGCAACCGCAATAATATCACTCCTTGCAGAGGATGAGAGGATCAATACTGCATAGATACTAGGTCAGACTATACAATTACCCGCGACATCATCTACAGCTTGACCCTCCTCTCACCACGAACCACCACCTTTTCTCTGCCAGATCTATCCTGATCCCTAAGAACCCGGCGCAGGATCTTCCCACTGGCACTCTTAGGAATCTCATCCACAAACTCCACCTCCACAATCCACTTGTGCCGCACCTTCTTCTCCCTCACGTAGTCGATCAGCCGGTGTCCAAGCTCCACCCACCCCTCTGGACCAGAAACCGTTCCCCGAACACCAGGCTTGACCACCACATACGCCTTGGGCCTCTCCCCGGAGTATTCATCCGGCATGGCAGTAACAGCGGCGTCTTCCACGACCGGATGACCCAGCAACAGATCCTCCAGTTCCGCCGGCGACACCCCAATCCCCTTCACCTTGATCATCTCCTTGATGCGGTCCGTAATGGTGATGAAGCCCTCGCGGTCGATAAAGCCCACGTCACCCGTATGCAGCCAGCCCTCCGCGTCGAAGGTCTCGCGCGTCGCTTTCTCGTTGCCCAGGTACCCCATCACCACCTGCGGCCCGCGCGCCAGGATCTCCCCCGGTTCGTTGTACCCCAGTTCCCGCCCGGACTCGGTGTCGATGATCTTGACCTCGGTGTTGGCGACGATCGTGCCGACGGTGTGCGCGTACCGGTACGTCTGTTTGTCTGGCGGGTGGGTCGTGATGCAGCTGCAGGACTCGGTCATCCCGTATCCCTGCTTGAACCCGGTGCCTGGGAATCGGCGCTCGAGCTCCTGCAGCAGTTCGACTGATATCGGTGCCGCGCCGGAGGAGAAAGTCTGCAGATGCGAGAGGTCGTAGTTACGTACGATCGGGTCGCGGAGGAGGCGGATGATGATGGGTGGAACGAGGAGGGCCTCGGGGATTCGGTATCTGACGATGGTGGCCAGCGTGGATTCCATGGTGAAGGATGGAAGCATGTAGACGTGGGCGTTCCGCAGGATGGGGAGGTGCATCTGGTGCACCAGGCCGGTGACTGTGTTGTCAGTAGCCGCGACGAGTAGAGTTGGAGGATGGAATGCGTACTGTGGAACAGAGGCAGCACGGCCAAGGCCTTCTTGCGGTCCGGGGGAGTGACCTGATCCACCTGCATGCACTGCGCGATGACATTATGGTGTGCGATCATCACCTAACTCTTAGTATACGTCCATATTCTGGCCAGGGAACTCACGGCTTTAGGCAACCCCGTCGTCCCACTGCTGAAGCTCAGAAACCCACAGACGTCCCGGTTTGTCTTGCCGGCTGGGATCGTGAAAGACGGAGTCTGTCCACTGGGTCCGTAGCTTCTGCCAATGTCAATCAGCTGCCGGACAGTTGTATACCCCTCCTTCTCCCCCTCAAGCAGAAAGATACGCTCCGTCGGGATCCCAGCGTTCTCCGCCGCCGGCACAGCAACACCCATCGACGACGGCACCGTCATCAGGAATTTGGCCTGGCCCGTCTTCAACGCGTAGGTCATTTCCTCCACATTGTAAGCGGGCGAAGCGCCGGAGATCACGCCGCCTGATACTGTTGGCATTTTTCAATCGAAATTAGAAGGCATCGTACCTGCGCGGATGGTAGCAAGCATAGCCACCGGATACCAGATGGTATTGGGGCCGAAGAGTGCCACCGTGTCACCCTCTTTCAGACCGTACTTCCTGACCAGCGCGGTCGAGATGAGAGTTGTGTATTCCTTGACCTCATCGTAGCGGACCGTCTCCTCGGTGGCTGCGTTGGTGAATCCGCCCAGTTCGGAGGGGGAGAATCGGTAGAGAGGAGAGTATGGGGAGTCGAAGAGCCAGTCCCAGATGGGGAGGCTGGTTGGTACTTTGTCTGTTAATGAGAGTATATATATGGGAACTCGATACGTACTGTCCAAATGAGGTCTGTCAGACGAGAAGATCATGACTGGATTTCTGCTATGAGAATAGAGTATACACTCCGTCCGTATTCTGCGGAGATTTGGACTCGAGGTTGTTTACGCCTTAAATAGGTATCCTCATAGCCGATTTCCTCGGCCATAGCTGCGTGCTTGTAGAGTACACTCACTGAGACGATCAACTTCCCCGCATTTTCCCCAGTTTCATCAGTTAGCCGGCGCCTAGAGAAAGGGCTTGGAGAGGGGGGGGCTGGTATCTCCGCATGTGTGGCTCCCAGGTCCATGATAGCTGATGAGTGGCATTGCCTACACTTTGCATTATAGCAATAAATCATATTTGACCATGAATCAACATGTCCAAGTCTCAGCCATGTCTTTGTGAGTGATTGACTCACCCAATCAGCATGCGTCTACTTCTACAAATTCCTTGCCGTCAATTAGTCAGGATTCGGCCTCGCGAAGAAGCGCGCCCGAAACTCGTATAAAACAATAAAGCCCCAGAACAAGCGCGCCTTGAATTGGCCAAAGATGCAGCCCGTCTCTCGTAGCTTATTGATTGGAAGGCGGTTCCCTCGGGTTTTAACTTGGCAAACCTGCGTCGTGCGCTGCCGTCGAATACGGCACGGCAGCATTCAGTATCCCAGCCAACTTGCATCATACAGAAGAATTGGCCAATTCTCATCACAGTGTCGAAGAGCATCTTCAAATACAATGGCAAACGAACAAACTGTGCCGCTGGACCATCTAGTCCCCTCCCTTCTCCCGCGCGTCTACGACTTCTGGTTCCAGTACATCCCCTCAGACGAGCGACTCGTCGTCCCCTCCCCCGAAGACTGGAAGAGATGGTTCATGAAATCCGACGAGTTTGACGGCGCATGCACGTACGCGTATCCCAATGATTACTGTGGACTCAGCTGATCATCCCAGGTCCCAATTCTCACCCCTCCTCGCCGCCATTCGCAAGGCCAGCCCCTCCGCAGAGGAGATCCTATCTCGAACTCAGCCCTCCAGCCCGCAAGACTGGCTCGGCCTCATCCTCCTGCTCGACCAACTCCCCCGCAACATCTACCGGGCCGAGTCCTCCCGCACCGTCTTTGAATTCTTCGACCCGCTCGCGCGAACCATCGCCCTCAGGGCCGCGGACGCGGGATACCCATCCCGCGGCCCCTTCCGCTACCGCCAGGCCCAGCGCATATGGTTCTACCTGCCCTTCATCCACTCCGAGGACCTACGTATGCAGGAACTCGCGCGAGCCAAGTACCAGGAGATGGCGGGGGAGATCACCCGTCTCCTTGACGGGGATCCGACGGCGTTATCCGACGACGAGCGGGCGTGCCGTCGCGTTCTTGTGGAGAATCGGGAGCGGGTGGAGGCGCAGCTGACGCTGCATTTCCGGGTGCAGAGGGAGCATTATGACCCCGTTGCGAGGTTCGGGCGGTTTCCGCATCGGAATGCGGCGCTGGGGAGGGTGTCTAGTGAGGAGGAGAAGAGGTTTGTGGAGGAGGGGAATACGTTTGGGCAATGATCAATGCATTTGTACTCCGTAGTTGGAGATAGGAATGTATTTGATAAAAGACATTACTGATTATCGTGAATGAATGTGGTAGGTACAAGATGCCAGACCAGGAGTGGGAATGATCGTATCTACATGCGGACTGTGAATCAACCCTTGATCAACACCCGGACACCCTTGCTGTCCATTCGAGGAAAGGGGATGAAAATGTCGTGCTTCACGGCTACATCTTCCACGGTGGTTTCGTACAGCTCCAGGTTCATTCTGCGGAGGAGAGTCGACACCGACAAGAGGATTTCGGCTTTGGCGAGACTGCTTCGGTTAGTCGCTGTGTGTCCTGAGACGAGACAATACGTACTGCATTCCAATGCACTGACGGGATCCCTTGGAGAAGGCGACCATGTATTTTTCTAGGCGTTTGCGCTCGGCCGGGTCGAGCCAGCGTTCGGGCTTGAAGCGGTGCGAGTCGGGGAAGATGGTTTCGTCGTGATGCATTAGTAGGCAGCTCATGCTGACGGGGGTCTATGCAGGTCAGCAGACGGTCAATCGAGAGATAAGGGGGCATACTCCTGGGGGAATGGTCCAGTCTCTGAACTTGAGGGCGTTGAAGGGGGCGATCCGGGGTAGACGGGCAGTCACGCCGTAGGACAGTCTAGATATGTTAGAATGGCAAGAATTCAGGCGTAGTGACATACCTGATTCCTTCTAACATCACACCAGTCTAAAAAATATTAGCCTAGCCATATTTGCATGATCATTGCTACTCACCAGGTAGGGCAACTGCTCCAATTGAATCAGCGGCGGATCCTCGCCCACCGTCTCCAGCTCAGCCTTGAGCTTCTCCATCGTCTTGGGGTCATTCAGCAGGTAGAACAGGATATAGGTAATCGCCTTGGCCGTGGTCTCGGCCCCCGCAGAAACCATCACCTGCATCTCCTGCGCAAGCCGCGTCTCACTCTTGTGCTGCGCCGGCAGATCACTACTCAGAATATCATCGAAGATATTCGCCCGTCCCGCATTCTGCACAGACTTGTCGGCCTTCTCTTCATGCGCCGCGACAATCCTCTTGATCATCTTCCGGCACCGCCGCTGGAAATCGAAGAACAGCTCCATCCCGGGATTCAGCCACGCGGTCACCCTCTCCGGCAGCGCCAGCAGCAACGGCAGCGCCCACGCCACAGGACGAATAAACACCATCGTCTTGGCGGTGCCGTTCAGCGTCCCGTACCACTGCGGGATGAAGTCCGGCGCGTCGAGGTAGTGGTACCCATCGCCCATGCTGTAGTCGGTGATGACATCGGTGGTGTAGCAGGTGAGCGCGTGCTCGATGTGGAGGGGCTGGCCGGTGTTCTTGAGCTCCTCGAGGCGGCGGCAGAGCTTGTCGACGAGGGCCTTGATGGCGGCTTCCTGCTTGCGGATGCGCGCGTTGGAGAAGAATGGGTTCAGCTGGGCGCGGAGCTGGCGGTGCTGGTGGTGGTCGATCGTGTTGAGGAGGGCGAAGGGGGCGTTGAGGGTGCGCTGGTAGTATTCATATTTGTTGCGGGGGCTGTCGCGCGAGTAGATGACTTCGTAGTATTCCGGGTCACTGACGTGCAGTTCGTTTGGGCCGATGCGGACGATGGGGCCTGTACGATTACATCAGTACAAAACACTTGGCTAGACAGGTCGAGAAGATATTTCGTGTAACGGTGTCAAGCGGACAAGGATGACATGCCAAGAAGTGATCTATCGAATTCGACCGGGCTGATTCAAAAGGCAGCCGAGGGCCAGGGGCTTACCATATTTGTCATGGAGGCGAGCAATCTGGAAAGTGAACTGTCCACAGCAGATGGTGTCCCAGTAGAACTCGTAGAGATGCGTCAACGCGGCCAGTTTGGGCCCAGGGAAACGGGCAATGGGGGACAGATAGAGCCGGTCGAGGACCAACCAGAGCAGATAGACTGCCCCGAGGGCGACTGCAGAGACCAATGGATGCGAAAGCAGGAGACGCAGCAGCTCCATAATTGACAGGGAAGTTTTCATTTGCAATCGCAATTGCAGGAGTATGGTTCATGCAGAATGGGAACTCCAGCACACCAGAACCATGGTGCCGGGTCGGGTTGGTCGTCGACAGGTTTTAAAAAAAAGTTGAGGAGTGCCATTCACTCGGCAGTGGCCAGTGCGAGACCCATCAGACTGGACGACGGAGTACAGAGTGTGTCTCAGTCTGCCTGGGACGGCAACCGACGAGTGGAGACTGGACATTCACTTCCAATGATGAGGAGTGGGAAACTCATCCAAGGTTTTCCAGCCCCGAGAGGACCCAGATGCAGCAGTGAAGAACGCCCGTGCTTTTTCTTCACGGATGGGGCATCCGGATGGAGACACCCTAGCCATGGTGGATGCCTGCATTCTCACGGTCCAGTCAGGAGCCATGTATGCGTTGGCTTGGGCCGGGTGTAGTGAAGAATTGCCCTATTAGGACGACAATGGCTTTATCCCCGGCCGCTAAGAGACGCTATCGAGTTTAGACTTCCTTGATTTCATGTCGCTGTGGCTCTAGCCTTTCGTCAGGTTGTGATAGGTGATGATGGTTGCACTGAATCCATAGTCGACAATGTTATAACCATTCTGTCGGGTCAAACAAGAGGATAATATTGACATGGTTGGAAATATGTACATTCGCATAGAGAACAGAATCAACAAACGCACTTACAATCCTTCCTCTCCTCTAGTTACGACCATTATCAATTATGATACCATCCGGATGATCCGTGTCACGACCCCACTGATCCGTCGTGTTTCTTCCCGTTCTAGGCTGGGCTGAACCTTTCTGGACTGGCGACTGGCCTCGTACTTCTGACTCTCTGGTTTTTCCTGGGTTTGATTGGCCGTCCGGCTCATGGCATGATAGTGGTGCAAAATTGTCTCCGGGTTCCAGCCATGCTGCCATGGTCTCCGACAGATGTCTCCGGACAGAGGAGGCCAACAGTCGTACTATTATCAGTCCATGGTAACTTGACAGTTGACCATCAATGATAAACTTTCGCTTCTTCGGAATGAGATGATACTGACACCGACAGCTGGTCTCTTTGACTTATAATTCTGGCAACTTGTTCCCGGCAGGAGGCCCACTGTATATTCCCACTATCGAGTAGGAGTGGTGATATCGGGAGATGCAGGCGGCAAAGCAGCTGTTATATCAGAAATATCTCATAGTTATCATATCCTATGAATAATAATACAAACTCATAAAGTGACAATATCAACCTCTGAACCAGAGGCAGGAGAGTTTTGCGGCATAATTTACCTCCCGCACAGTGGAGTATCACTATCCATGGTACGACTCTGGGGTTTCCGGCGACGCCAACCTTGACGTGGACATGGTGAATGGCGTTGCTATCATGGGTAATCGGCTTGAATTCCTGGCAAGTAGTGCTTCCACTTCATAGCCGTCTATCATGCGAGGTGGCATCATCTAATATATCCTTTGCCGCTTGTTGCGCGGATGGCAAAACATAATGACTGTAACTGACACCAACTCGATATACATATCTGTCGAGATATATACCCCAATTCTTAATTCTACCACTCCTACAGTATTATTTACCACTAAAGTGCTCACTTGTTTGTGATTATAATTTACTTGATATGCAGTCCTTGGACTGGTTAGTGTCCGAAATGCATTCATTCAGGAAACGAGTCACTTCTATATAAGACCATCATGATTATTTGACACCTGGTTCGATTAGGAAACCCCCATTGAGCGTGAAATGGACGTTGGATTACTGGTGTTGGCGCATCGCGATCCGACGACTGGAGTTCAGCTATCTTGTGTCATTGCACAGGATTTGTGACATTGGTGACTGAACTAGACTGTCGATGTGACCGAATACGCTGACGACCGCGACAACGACTCTACCGTCTGGTACAAGCGCCTCGTCCCTAGATTTCACTGTCGACCGGCACAAGACCTCCCTGCTAATGCGACCCTCGATTTCTAGTATCAGTCATGTTCGTCAATCCGCTATTCTTCCTCCTCCGCCGAAGAAAGACTTCGAGGCGAGAAGTGTTGGATGTTTTCGGGCAGATGCCAAGTTGGTCGACGAAGCACGGTCTCTTAAGGGGCGTCGGCCCATAGTCAATGTTTCAGGACTAGGAGCCCAGAGCTCGCTAGAGACAAAGCCGTTGTTCCTCTACAACTATCGGATTCACGGATGTATACCGGAAGTATAATCGTTGGTGGAACTAGCCAAGGAGGGAGCCTCAAAGGGCCGTCAATCCGGATACCTGGTACGATATACTGGAACGCCCGCGGGCCCATTCGACTCTGACCTAGCAGGAAAGGGGAATACCGGCTCGAGAGGAGGGCGATGAGATTTACGCCTACAGGTTCAACACTCTAGCTATACGTACTGCTATTGAGCCGCTTTGAAGGTACTTGGCTAGCTGGAGACAGAATACAAGACAAAGTCGCATCGGAATACATTCTAGTACATTACAACCATATAATCTTACCTAACGCTCCAATCCAAACATCCGAACACTATTCTCCCATGCAGCCCGAGCCACCTCCTCCACCGAAGTTCCCTTCAAACCCGCCACAACCAACGCCACCCTCTCCATCGACAGCTCTCATTCCTACCCTTGACCATCTGCCCCCTGATAAACTTCCCATGCTTCCGCGTCGGCGGCAACGGCCTCGCGCGAGCCAGAAACGGCGCAATCCGCTCATCCTCCACAATCTCGCACCACGGTGCACCAGTCTCAAGCTGTAATCTATCCAGCGGAATACGCTTCACCATCTCCAACTGCTCCTCCGTCCGAAACGAGACTCCATTACCGCTGATCCCGAGGCCCAGCGCCACAAGCTGCAGCATCTCGTCTTTCGTCCCGGCGAATGAATGCACGAGCCCACCGCGCGGCAGTCGCGACAGGTACGACGTGATGATCTCGACAACGTCGGCGCACGAGTCCCGCACATGCAGGAAGAGAGGGAGCTGCATCCCAACGGCAATATCAAGCTGGTCCCTGAACGCGCGCTGCTGCGTCTCCTTGTCCGAGCGCTGGAGATACGCATAGTCTAGCCTGATCTCGCCGAAGGCGACTAGCGGCGAGGGGGAGTGAGCCAGCAGCTCGTTGCAGAGGGCGCGCAGGGCATCGAGGTATGTCTTGCCGTCTGTCTGGTAGATTTCAGCTGCGTGGTACGGATGCACTCCGAGCGTCATGGTGCAGATGTCGGGATACTGCTGGACTATTTTGAGGTTCTCGTGCGCCCTGGCTAATGTCGTCGTGGTGAGGATGATCTTCTGGCAGCCGTATTCTTGGGCGCGCTGGAGGACCTCGGCGAAATCGGGCTCATGGTATTGTTTTCCCCTGTAGATGCCTTGGAATTGGTCTGCGGTGAAGGTTACTGTCACCTGTGCGTGTTAGTATAAACTGTATGAACTGTATGAGCTGTATGATTCTGTGGTGAAGAGAGGAGGCCATATATCTGCGTAATGAAGCCGGGATAAGTCTGTGGCTGTGGACATTCTGCCGTCTGGGAATCTATCATGACATGGTGTTTGTATATGAATATCAGGATATTACTCTTATCATTATTATGATCCGAAGTCTTCGTGGCTCATGTGGGTCTTCCCTAGAAATTTAAGGGGATAAAGGATCTCGAAAGAAGTAGATATTCTCATTTACAAAGACAGTCACGCGTGCTTTCTGCCTAAAAGCAAGACCGACATACGGACAAGCTGCCGGCATTGTGGAGTTCTTCCCTGCTACAAACATGCAAGTCTTGGTGTCCAAGATTCTTTTTCCATCCACAATAGTCTATGCAAGACAAGACACGGCGGAGAATCCCCTGCCTTATACCGTACGCCAACCAGATTCCCGGCATCGAGAACGCGGCATATCGGCAGGTTCTGATATTTATTATTCTCGGGATATTTCCAAGAAAATATCTGGAATGATACTCCGTAGCGTCGTGAAGCGCAAGTCCTGAATGATAACGGATACTCTCGGCCAGATTCGGGCAGGCGCGGCTATCCTCGCTCACGTGCCTCAGAGGGAAAATTTTCACCTTGATGAGACTGTTCACCAGCCACAGTGCCGTCCATAGCCGATTTCTTTATCAACTGTGCCTGGCGCACTGGCAAAAGGCCATTGGACAATGCTGCACATCGGGACTTCCCTTGTGGCTGCTGCAGGGCTGGTGTCCCTGCGCTCTGACCAGTTCTATAAATGTTATATAAAACCTCGGAAAAGTATGGATCTCCTACATCACAATGAGCTCCATCTGGCAGCCATCGATGGCGACTGACACCCGACCAAGAAAAAATTGTGTGATCCACCGCTGGCCTGGACGTGGGATGATGGAGTTATATACTGGAGACAAGCTCTGTAGAGCCGTAGAACGCAGAAGGACCAGAGCAGATAGTGTATCCTCTCCAAGCGGGAGAAATGGAAAACTCAGACACTCTTACTCTGGATTCGCCCAAGACTTTCAATGATGACCACCATGGCAGCCATCCCACCGTCTCCTCTCATCCCCTCGACAGCGCCAGCGACTGCCTCTCCGACGAAACGGTAGACCATCTCGAACCCCTCGAACTCACCCGCATCAACACCTACCGACTCCAGCAAAAGACCACCGTGGGCTCAACACGCGGCCCTGCACCCCGAGATGCATGGCTACCCATGGGCGCAGGCAAGGAATACCCTCCCTTACTTCCCGATCCGGAAACATACGTCGTCGAATTCGATGGAGCGGAGGATCCCCTACACCCGTACAACTGGTCCATGACACGAAGGTAGCATTCGCTCGTACATAGATGCCCCACGAAGATGCTAACGCTGGAGCGACAGAATCTTCCTGGTCTGCATTCTCTGCTACGGCACCTTCGCCGGCTCATTCGCCAGCGCCGTCTTCTCTGCCGCCATTGGGTCCGCCAGCAAGGAATTCCACGTCAGCGAAGAGGTCGGCTCGCTCGGCGTCACTCTGTACGTGCTCGGCTTCGCCGCGGGCCCAACCATCTGGGCGCCCTCCTCGGAGCTCATCGGACGGCGCTGGCCGCTGTCCCTGGGTCTCCTGGGGTGCGGAATCTTCACCGTCGGCTGCGCAACGGCAAAGGACTTCCAGACTCTGATGATCTGCCGGTTCTTTGCGGGATTGTTCGCCGCGAGTCCCATCTCAGTTGTGCCTGCTGTCTTTGCGGACCTCTTCAACAATGCACAGCGCGGGATCATCATGTCCGTCTTCTGCATGGCGGTGTTTATCGGTCCGTTTGCGGCGCCGTTTGTCGGCGGTTTCATCACGATGAGTGCGCTCGGTTGGCGCTGGACGATGTATATCTCGGCCATAATGGTGTTTGTGGGATTTGGGCTCGTCGCGCTGTTCCTGGATGAGACGTACGCGCCTGTTATTCTGGTGCGGAAGGCGGCGACGCTGCGTCGGCAGACGCATAATTGGGGCATCCATGCGAAGCAGGATGAGGTCGAGGTCGATTTCCATGAGCTCGTGCGGAATAACTTCACCCGGCCGTTGAAGATGCTCGTCACGGAGCCGATTCTGCTGCTTATCTCGCTGTATATCTCCTTCATCTACGGGCTTATCTATGCCCTGCTTGGTGCATACCCTGTCGTCTTCCAGGGGGTGTACGGGATGAATATGGGTGATGGGGGACTGGCGTTCGTCGGCTTGATCATTGGGGAATTACTAGGTGGCGTGTTCATCCTGTTGCTCCAAGGCTCGTATATCAAGAAGCTGGCTGCGAATGGAGACGTCCCCGTGCCTGAGTGGCGTCTCCCTCCAGCTATCGTTGGAGGTGTCACCTTTGCTGCGGGCATGTTTTGGTATGTTTCTACCTGCTGATGGAAGGCCTTTTACTGACTGCCGCAGGTTTGGCTGGACTGGCTATACTTCGTCTATTCACTGGATGGCGCCTATTTCTTCTGGCATTCTTACTGGCTTCGGCATCTTTTGCATCTTCCTGCAGTGCTTCAACTATATTGTTGACTGCTACCCTACTTTGTAAGTCTACCACCTTCACGATATCTATCTCTCCACTAATGGTGCCAGGGCTGCCTCCACGATCGCAGCAAACACTATCCTCCGGTCCGCAGTAGGATGCGCATTTCCTCTCTTTTCTCGACAGATGATGGAGAACCTCGGCGTGCAATGGGCTGGGACCATGCTGGGGTGCATTGCCGCAGTAATGGTGCCCATCCCAATTGCATTCATGGTGTATGGCCCCTGGCTGAGGAGCAAGAGTCGGTCAGCTGGTGCTCCTGTATACCCGGAGACGAAAAAGCATTATGATGTTTGATGATTGCATAGCGCATAGACTAGATACCACGACATGATTAATGACATGAGACATGCAAAGTCTATCTCCACATTGACACCACCCTGTACTGGACTGGTCCAGTATTCGAGAGCATGCAACAGAGGCGGCGCTGGGTCCGCTCCATAGGATAGTCCCGAGGCTGGAACCAACCGAGGGCTTCAAGCGCAACACTTCTGGATTATTTTAGCGGCTACACAACAAAGACATCCTGGATTTTTTCCTGCTCGACTTGGATCCGGTAGCTAAGGCTATTAGAAGGGCATCCAACTGTGATGAGTTATGAGTATGCATTGCAAAGTTCTTAGCATATTCAATTAGTCATTTAACAGAACGAATGCCTAATCCAGGTGTTGAAGGCAAGGGAAGATACTCTTTCAGTCTATTGATAACCTTCAAGTGAATATGCTGCAAGCCCTCCCTCAAGAGCAGTGAGATAGCTGCAGGGCAGCTGACCAGTGCGCTCAATGCCAACCCAGATATAGCATTAGATGGAGTAAGCAACAGCATGATTGAGCAAGACAAATCAGGTGCTCCATAATAATGATGATAGGCCTTTGACACATGCAGTGTCTACTATAGCTAGGCTACCTCGACCTTGGTCCACCAGCGCTGGACTCGAGAAGAAGGGGACTATTTACTAGACTGGCTTAATATAACTCACACAGTCAGAGATTGAGCAGAGTATCTCCATGACTTCAGGGTATCCCATAAGGCATTATCTGTATGCCACAAAGCATTCAGGTACAGGGCCAGTTATTACCAGGAAGAAAACCCTTATAAGATAAAATCAGTACACATTACATAAGTAGAGTTGCATCCAGTCCGGTTTCAAGCAAGTTCCTAGGTACTTGGGACCGCTCTGCAGTTTCGACTTTTGAGTCCACATTCGAGAACTCAGAACCCATGTAAAGCCAGAAACTATCGCACAGCGTAGAACAAAACGATTCCAACAATCAGAACATGGCGATTGGATTTGTGGAATTCTCCGGGCGAGTCTGGAGAACGTCCCAATGCTCGACAATGCAGGTCCCATCCATGCGATATATGTCCGCAAGAGCAACTGGCTCCGCGTCTTCATCCCCCAGTCTGAGGTGGACCAACCCAGTGTCGCTCTCAAAACTTGAGTGTACAACCGTAAAAGTGGAGTCGGGGATGATCTGAGACAGCCTTGCCACAACATCGTCACGGCTTTGATCAAAGGGATCATGCTCAATCAGATCAGGGTCAACATAGGTGCTGAAGGCCTCTGACACGTTCCGCTCGCCGTACAACGTCTGGACGAATCGGGCAAATATTTCGCGTTGGTATTCCACATTGGCGTCACGGCTAGGGCAATATGAATCAGGTCGTATTCCTTCAACCTCCGAACGATTTGGGGAGTTTGTAGAGTCGAAAGGATCTCTGGCAACGCCCAATGAGACAATGGAAAAGAGCAGGATAGGATTGATATGCATCTTAAGTGTCTGCAAAGCTAAGAGACTAAAGCTGGAAGTATTCCCTTAGAGTGGTTTATGATTGCACATTCTAAAGATGAGAGAGTCCGTTCCTACTTATATAGTCTTCCCAGGTCATATGTCAACTTTACTAATGATAAAAATAGCTTATAGCATGACTGCATTCCCATCCCTACATTTGTATATCTGCCTGAGCTACATTTACACCGTTTATTGACACTAGAAGAATGTGCTTTGACAGAATTGAAATAACGCGTTGTCTAAATGTACAGTGGGATGCTATAATTGCACCTCTTAATCTGAGGCCAACAGCCAGACCAGGTAATTTTAGGAAAGCTGTGCATTCTATTCAGTGCTGAATAGGTTGGTCTTAGAGTAAAAAACTAGTGAATAATATGATAGATACTCGTTTGTACATGTGAAGAAATTAGTTCGATTGATAGGAATTCTAGCTACTTATAAAGTATCCAAAGATACATGTGGACTAATTGCCCTTTAAAAGTTATTGAGAGCATGCTTGACATATGATACTCTAGCCTATTCCTATGACTGTCTGGGAGCAAAGAATGTGAGATGGAATGAAATGTAATTAGAAAAGGCTGCTGGCGGACTACTGGGCAGACCAATGCACTGATGCTCTTTCTGTTTTAGGAACACAAATACCTGTTGTGTAACTAGCCAGCATGTCACTGTTTGAGGATTATGCTTGGGCTGGTTGAAAGACATGCTCCCTAAAATCTTTGTTACAGAGACAAAGAATAATATAGACAGGTTCTTTTTCAGGATAATCCTGGGTTTATTACTTTGCAATCACTTACTTCTGCACTCTTTTCTAAAGTCATATACATTGAATGACTATATCATGATTTCACATGATTCCATAGAAGTTGACATTGTTGTACTATATTTCAAAATTCTATGTAGTATGCTGTCATCACCAGCTAGTTACTAGTTAGTTAGTTAATTATATAGTTAATGACTAATAGGCTTAATGAGCCATGGCACGCCCTGATCTCAAATGTCAAATTTATGTCACCACTGGACATTTCCGGTCATGTTCATCAAAGAATGTAGATCTACCTAAATGAAGGTTCTGAAAGCTAACTACATTGTATTAGGAATTGCCACGCCTCATGGAAAGGAGATCATACCACTTAACTACCTCAAACAGCTTAAATTTGATGAACTTACGTATAAATAGTTATTATACGCAAAGTCTTAGCTCAAGGTCTAGGTACATATCTTGAAGGGTTTTCAGACCTGAATGAAAGTTTAGATTCTTTGTTACTACAGATCTTTTTAATTTGCATATAATCCATTCATTCAGTCACAATGTACAAGTCTTACATGAAGTTGCTCAGTATTACCCTACTTTATCAAGCTTTGCTCATAGTTCAACTATTCTCCCAATGTAAGGAATTTCCTGCTGGTCTTTTGGAAAAAAAGAAATTTTAGGCAGTATATGTGCTAAAAGAACACTATCCTTTCAGCCCTTGCCAAAGGAGTTTCAAGAGCCACTGCTCCTATCAAGCGGGCGTTGCCGAATGCACCCAATGGATACACCCCTGAAGGCGAGGTCTGCCCTTCGAATCGGCCATCAGTCCGCAATGCCACCTCCTTATCGAGCGCCGAGGCGTCATGGCTGAAAGTACGAAGAAATAACACTAGAGACGCCCTGAAAGAGTTTCTGAGCAGAGTTGATCTCGGTTCTTTCAATGGATCTGTCTATGTTGATAATCATTCGGCTAATGCGTCTGCCCTACCCAATATTGGCATTGCAGCATCTGGCGGTGGATATCGAGCCTTGATGAATGGCGGAGGTGCACTGCAAGCTTTTGATAACCGTACCATTAACTCAACCCTCAATGGCCAACTGGGAGGCATTCTACAGTCGGCTACTTATCTCTCAGGACTTAGTGGTGGAAGTTGGCTGGTTGGCTCGATCTATATGAATAATTTCTCCGACGTATCATCGCTACGAGACAACGGTTCTGTGTGGCAGTTTCAGGATTCTATCTTTACTGGTCCATCTCAGAGCACTGAATGGAGCATCAGCACGGCTCAGTATTATTCACAGTTGGTGAGTGCAGTGAGCGGGAAATCGGACGCCGGGTATGAGGTCTCCATCACAGATTACTGGTATGCTTTTCCTGCCTTTGTGAGCTTGGAGAGAAGAAATCAAAGCTCACTTATCGAATATCAGGGGTCGTTCTCTCTCTTATCAACTCATCAATGCGACTGAAGGTGGCGTTAGCTATACCTGGTCGTCGATTGCTCTGAGCCAGGATTTCCAGGCCGGAACAATGCCTATGCCTTTGGTCATCGCGGATGGTCGAGCTCCGGGACAGATACTAATCCCCGCGAACACTACTGTGTTTGAGTTTAACCCTTGGGAGTTTGGGAGCTGGGACGAATCTCTGTCCGCCTTCGTTTCCCTAGAATTTCTGGGGTCGAATTTCTCGGGAGGGACACTGATGACAGGGGAAAAGTGTGTTCGAGGATTCGATAACGCTGGGTTCATCATGGGCACGTCATCATCTCTGTTCAATCAAGCATTCCTGCTCATAAACGATACCAAAGCGCCTTCAGCCCTGACGAACTCCATAAGTAAGATTCTGGGAAGAATCGGGTCCGAAAACAATGATATTGCCGTCTATGAACCTAACCCTTTCTATCGCTATGCAAGCCCATCCCAATATACAAACTCTACCTCATTGACCTTGGTTGATGGAGGAGAAGACCTACAGAACATCCCGCTAGATCCCCTTCTGCAGCCCCAACGCCAAGTGGATGTGATTTTGGCTCTCGACTCGTCAGCCGACACCGTCTCGAGGTGGCCCAATGGAACATCCATGGTAGCCACTTATGAGCGAAACGTACGCTCTTCAGGAATGAATGGTGGCCCAGCTTTCCCCTACGTGCCTGATCAGAACACCTTTGTCAACCTTGGGTTGAACAATCGCCCAACATTTTTTGGCTGCAACAGTTCTAACGTCACTGGCTCAGCCCCTGTTGTTGTCTATATTCCTAATGCGCCTTATATATACCCGTCGAATGTGCCTACTTTCGACCTTCAATACAATATCAGTGAACGGAACGCCATCATTGAGAATGGCTACGATGTGGCAACACTGGGGAATGCAACACTGGACTCCAACTGGCCATCTTGTCTTGCTTGCGCCATATTAAGTCGAAGCTTTGAAAGGACAAATACAACCGTCCCAGAGATATGCTCAACCTGTTTCCAGAACTACTGTTGGAATGGTACCGTAAATGCAACTACTCCTCAAGATTATTATCCGACATTCAAACTTGGTAAGTAGAACACAGGAGGACAAGTGAACTTGGGGAGACAGGGAAGCGCTGTACCTACTATTTATGAATGTGTCTCTTTTATCATGATCTATTATGTTCTTGTATTTTCCACTTTCATTATTTTTGACATGTGCCCCCTTCTGAGACTTGATGCTTCATCACCTTGCAAAAGTGCTTTATGGTGAGGAATTATGTGTAGCTCAAGATCTTCTAATATGTTTAGCACGTCAAATGTGAGCACCATTTCTTGGAAATGCCAGAGACTGGCTGGAGGGATCTAATATACTATGGCGAAAAGCACTGTGCTTACTATATTTATCCTTCGAATTATATCCTTCGAAATATCTATACTTGTTCTGAACCTCTCTGAATTACCTACTGATCTAGCCTGAGCTTGACACTGCTTAAAAGTTAGTTACAGCTTACAACTATGAATGAGGAAGGTTCTCAATGGAAGATAGCTAACCATTTGCCAAATGTCCCCTGTTTCTGTAATAACTGATGATGAGTACCTTGTCCTTGATGAGTCATTATAAGACAACTATGCACTACCAGCATCCAACAGAGACTTCGTCTTCTCAAGCATACTTGACCTTCCAAGCACCGTCTTCACTGATTGCTATTTATATTTCTGGGAAGAAAGAATGAGAAACGAGACACTGATAGAATTACAAGAAAGGAACGAATGTAGTTCCAGCAGCAGAGGCGGCGGGTTCGATCCAGGCCGCCCTTCCCAGCGTCGCAGTTAACTCCTGCTGATTAACGACGACCACCGTATCATCCCCTCATTTCGTGGGAAATTGATCGTGCTGGGAGAGAAAGAATGGCATCTGAGAGGAAGACAACGTCTTTTCGCAACCTGCTTATCATACTTCCTTGATCTCTGGATAAATTAGATATTATCGGAGAACTTATACCACTGTACTAAAATAACATCATGACAGTCACTCTTTCAGGGTAATAGTATTTCAGTAACTCCTACACTTTGACAGATATAAACATTCTCCACCTTATTTGAGCAAGAATTCATGATTAGGGGCTGTTCTTGTCTTCATCCTTTAACTCTTGCATTTTCATGAAAGCAGCCTAATGCCCTGAGGCGTTCAGTCTGGAATTAGAATGATTCTGGAAAGCAAGGAAGTTGGTCTGCATGCAATCATAAGCTTTGCTGCAAAGAGCACGGAGAGCCGACTCAACACACTCGCACGAGAGCTATCCTACCTTTTTAGGCAGGTACTTAGCTACCTACCTGTACAGTGATGACCCACTCGCCCAATAGACTTGCAAGAATTGCGCACGCCGATGCGGAATACCCACTACCTTCCCTCCTATTGGTGGTTCGGATTTCGCCGAGTTGTTCTTGATTCCTTCGGCAAGCTAATTACGGGCCGTGTTTTCCACCGCTTGCAGCCAATGAAATTTGAGATACTTTAATTTTCTTGGACTTATCGCTCGGTAGTTAACTAGGTAGTTTCATGATTACCTAAGTGTCTCTCTCAAATCTTACCTAGGTAAGGCAGGCGTCGTAATCTCTTATCGCCTGCATCTAATTGGGTATTGCTCGCTTATCGCGGTGCCGCATGGCTGGTCTAGCCCTTTGCAATTTCTGGTCGGTCAACGGTTATCAAGTCGGGGAGTTTCCATGTCACTAGAGAAACGTTCCTCTGGGTAAGATCCCCTAAGTATTGTGGCTGATGCAGTTGGTTCACGGTTTGTGTGGGGGATCTAAAGCCATGAAGCAACTCTCTGACATTACATAGCTGCACAGGTTGTAGTACAAGTAATGATTATTCCATCATGTTCTAAAGTAGAAGCAATGTAATGCTTTCTCAGTGTGTAGGAAGTATAAGACACTAATTAAATAGCTACTAAGGGTAAACAACTATATACATCACCCCTTCTCCATTGCTCTTGAGGTTCACACCCAGTGACTGCTTATCGTGTTTCTAGGAGGGCATCATAGGAGAGGTGGTCATAGTATCAACTAGCTGACTATGCTTCAGAGGTACTCAGATTTGAAGCTCATCCAACCGACCAAAGTCAAGCGGCCACGCATCTGCTCTGACCTCAGGAAGACCATTCTTTCTTTTCCGAACTTAGAGATGGCCAGAACAAATCTAGGCCCGCGGAGTTGTTCATTTGAATCTGCCTTTAATCTACAGCCATGCACGGCGACTACGACCAATATCTAGGTACCACCATTGTGGAGCAAAAGTGGCCGTAAAATGACCACACCTGTCAGGTTCCAATGGACAGTCTCAGTAGATCTCGCTTAATATCAGGTCCATCAGAGCAGGGAATTGGGTCCCGTCCACGGTTCAGCAACTCAGCAAGTCCTCGGGTAATAAATTACAACGCTCAGAGGCAGAAGCACTGCCACTCAACCTTCAAAGCAGCCTGTATGAAGTCTAAGAGCCTCCTTAGGTATACTTGCCCGATGACTTACTGATGTCTTCCTCACTATTTGAAATGTCCTTCTCTTGCGCGATGGGACTTTATGATATCATGAGTGAACTTTCAAGTGTCGCTGTTGATAGTGGCTCATTTTATAAGTCTAACTTCCGCCAACATCACACCTTTTCATATCCATTTGCTCTGCCTCTAGTTAAGTATTTCCTACACGACCTATTAGAATATTGCATTGTTATCTGGGAATACCTATATCATGTAGCTTAAATATCAAGCAAAGTGGAGGCTCCCAAGACCAGCCATATTGAATATGAAGCATTTGCTACTGATTTGATGAAGGATTGTGTACTCTCAGTCTCTCACTGAGCTTTGTGGGGACAGAATAGCATTATTCAAAGCAGTGACACTAACATTATTCCAGGGGGTTCAAAAGCTTTTAAACTTCCACCCTAATCCAGTATGGGAAAATGGCTCATCATTGAGATGCCACGCGGGGTCGCGCATTAGACTTGATATGGTGAGTTGAAGGGGTCCATTAAACAGGACCACTTTGTCGTCCTACTGAAGCCTTCCATTTCTGAATCTAGGCACGCCACTGGCTTTCTCTGACCACTGAGGAACAAACAAGCCAATACAACATAAGTAGGGTTAATTTCCATTGTGAGCCAAGTAGTCAGGTAACTCAGGTTTGGTCCCATGTCTGATAAGACTCATTTGCGCACACTAGCAGAAATGTTCCTACTTATTGGCGGCCACAAAACTCTATTCAGAGTATCTAAATCCTAGGTAGATAATGCCTCCCATTCTTTTTTTATTGGGCTTGAGTGGACAGGCGTTATTTGTAATTGTGAGTCGTGACTGGCAAGTGCCAGAGAGCCTCTTGATCTAGACATAGTCTAGAAGATTTTGACAGGTCTGCTTCTCAGTTTGTCATCCCGCAAGATTTTCCATTGACATGACAGGTCTGCTTTCGCCACCTCAGCCCGACAGAGTCCTTGGCCTCTCCCAGAAGCAAAGTTAAGTTTATTTGACGAAGTGTATTTTGATTATGTTGGCCACGGGGCTGGCTAACAAATTACTCGCATAGCCAAGGATGAGAGAACCCCTATTTGGTATAAAGTTAATCGATTCAATGGTTGTGATTTCTCTTTAAAGTTAGTGGCTATAAGTGAACCATAGATCAGCAGACCCTGGGGATTCGAATAGATTGAGTTCACAAAGATCCCTGTCTTGCAAGCCTAACGACGTTGCCTGTTATATCCCAGACCATCGCCAGCCTGAGCTCAGTCGCATTGAGCCTCTTCACCCTGAATACATGTACATCGAATATTAGGGTGCTTTTCATCACGCTAGATGCTGTCAGCCTCTAATGCTCATATTCCACTCCGTGCTTCCTGCGAATCTTGCAGGAAAGCAAAGGTATGAACTTGCAAGAGTTCAGTTATGTCAGGCCAATGTGCTAACCATGATATTCTTTCACCAGGTCCGATGTAAAAGGGACGGTGGAAACTGTAGTCGCTGCTCAAAGCTGGGACAACAGTGTGCTTTTTCTCCTACGAGCCGGAAGCGAAGCGCCAAAACACCATCAAGTTCGCAGCAGTAAGAGCCAACATCCCTCTTTGGCTTGCTTATCAACACACTGACGTCGAGATAAACATTCGCAGGGATGCACTCACTGAGATGAAAAACCGGCTCGAGCTGGTAGAGTCCCTTTTGTCTGCATCGAGGCATAAATCAGCGGATCAAACCCATGTCCATCCATTGTCGCCCATAGCCGATGATGACGAATTATCCTTTTGTTTGATCGATAGAGTGGGATTCTCGAGTTTTATCGGTAACTCTCCGGTCATTGTATCGGCTAGAGCCTGTGGTTTGCTTACAACTGCCGTTCTATGTAGGATCCGCGTCTGGTTTCTCACTTCTATCACCGCGCGGTTTACGGTCGATTTTCAGATCTCACTGGCTCGACCGAACTGTCCGACTTCTTCTTGAATCGAGCTCGAACATATATGCTCGGCTGGTCTGAGGAGATGATTAGCACATGGCAACATCTCACACCGGATGATCGAACACCCCTTCCCCCACGAGGGTCTGCGATTCTCACAGTCAACTGTCAGATCCCCCTGTTGCTCATCTAATACCTATAGCTCTTCACAAGTGGCTCATTGCTGTGCAGATTTCTTCACTTATATTAACCCTACTATGCCTCTCTATGATCGAGGAAAGTTTATGGAGCTTTTTGAACGGCAGTACTCAGATAATCCACCAACAAGCGTGTCCTGGTATGCCTCACTCAACGCCGTACTCGCCATCGGCGGACTTGTCTTTGAGGACGAGACCGGTTTGCACTCAACCATGGCTCCTTGCGGAGAAAAAAAGGGCACCCTGCATGTACTAAGCTGTCTCCGGAATTGTTATTCTGTTTTCACCCAACTTGCATACAGCTGCAGAGAGGTTATGGGTGTCCAGGCCCTCGTTGGAATGGTTGGTTCTCTCTTTCTGTCAGGTGCACGGTGGTTAAGCTTATGATAATCTCATGTCGCAGGCGTTGATCCTTGACATTCTTCTTGACGTCGAAGCAAGCTATATGGCCATCGGAGCGGCGGCGCGCCTTGCTCTTGGTTTGGGGCTGCACCGGGCGCCTGCAGATTCATATCAAACCACAAGGGAAACCGAGGAGCGGCGCAACGTTTTCTGGGTTCTGTACGTGCTGGACAGATGTATAAGTCTCCGGCTTGGACGTCCGCCTACGATTTGCGAGGACGATATCGAAGTCAGCGAGCCCCGAACGTGGCGGTTACTGCAGCCGCCTCATGTCAAGGGCGGCCTATCCTATTTTGCGCACTTTGTGAAGCTCGCCAGGATCAAGAGCGAGATCTATTCAAAGCTCTATTCCGTTTCTTCTCCGAAAGGTAATCGCGGGGCAGAAAGTCTCGCAACACTGAATAATCTTGATGAGAAACTTGGCATCTGGCGGGAAAACTTGCCTGAGTTGCCACCGCTGGAGAAGGCACTGCATTTCCCCAATGCTGAATTCTTTCCTTTCACTGTGTTGTTGCACGCAGAATACTACAACTGCCAATTAATGCTCCATCGGAGAAGCAGCTACGGAGAAGCTTTTCGTTCCAATGATCTTTCAATCCTTCAGACCACTTCAACCGAGTCTCAGAGCATTTCCGGCCGAACGAAATGTCTCACGGCCGCAAGGCATACAGCCCAGCTTCTCAACAGCTTGCGGGAGAGCGGGAATTTGTTTCGGAACAACCTGGCCCGGTATGATCTTTTGTCAAACTGTTGGTTTCTATCCACTCAGAGCCTGCTGACGTATCTGACGCCGAATATCCTATTACCCGCTCTCTGCCTTTTTCGATATCTTCATCAACTTAATCCTACATCCTGGGGATCTGAGTGCTTCGTCCGATTTCCATTTGCTGCAGATCATCGCGGATTCGATGTTTAATGCTCTGACCACCAGCAGCTCACCGCTTGCTTTGTTACTGTCCGAGATGCTTCAGAAAATGACCGCAATGGCCAAGAATATCCTGAGGGAATCAAATAATGCCAATCAAGGAATTTTGCGACATACTGCCACAACCATTAGTACCGTGGGGTACGCCGTCGATGCCACTGGAGGCTTACCACCCTCTACCGTCTCCTCAGACAAACAGCCGGGATATCCCAATTGCTTCCCGCAGCTTTTGGCTTCTGACATTGACCTACATCTTGATTCAATACCTCCGCAAGGGCTGGAATCATCCGGCGCAGCAAGTGATATATTTTTTTGGGATCTCAACCAGGTCTTCAGTGAATCGGCCTTCTTGGCATAATCACACCCTGAGTGAGAATCTGTCTGATCGTCGGAAGGGAGAGACCCTGTGAGTCTTCCAGATAAGCCTACCATGTCTTGGATGTTCGGCTGGAACAAGACTAATCGCCTGGGACGCGAATCATACCGCAGAGCAAACGACTACTGTTCAACAATCTTGGTGACCCGGCTGCAGATGGACTTACACCAAGGATAGCATCATGAGGCGCAACTACGCAAATAGCCCTTCTTCTTGGGCTTTTCAGTCTCGTTCTGTATTTGATTGTTTGACCGACGAGTCGGATAGGACTACGAATCTTGACTGCAGAAGAATGGGTAGGTCTCAACCGCCGGTCCTCTGGGGGTGGAGGACTTTCGTGTAATCTTCTCCGTTACTTCCAGGGCATTGACCAGTCGATATCTGAGTTATCTGAGTCTTGACATCAACGTTATGTGTGACCTACTAGGTCTGGTACTCACCGTTGCGGTTTTGTTTCTTACCTCCTATGAGTGCTTCACCAAGCGTCCGACCATATACCAAAGATCAGTGCTTTTGACGACGTCTTCCTGAAGAATATATTTCTCTGTCCATATTCAGATCCTGTTTGTCCTCCATAAATTGTAAAGAGAGGGGTCACCTGACTCACATGGATAAACTAGAATCGTTAGAGTGTCCCAATTGGTCGAGACAGACACTGTTATTTGCTGTCAGCTCGCGGACTTTTGAACAGATGGAGCGAAATTTAGTCCCAATCTCATTTCGTACTCTGTAGAGTTGATAAGGATATTGCCTTCCATCCCTGTTGTTTGCACATTATACGGACTCTCTAAGACTTCTAGCTTGCATCTGAATGTGCTAAGCCAGGGGAATATGGTTCCCATAGACTCCATAAAACCGTGCGACAATGGCAATTAATGACAGTCTCAGTAGATAAACCTAGGACAGGAGGTCAATCATCCGAGTTACCAGTCATATATGCTCTAAAGAATCACAATCTTTCGTCATAATCCCGCTCTCCTCACTCGACCCCTGAATATTCCGCCTATCTCCTACATGGGCGCTGATTCTAGCTCCGGTATGCTAGGATACTTGAGGAGGGCGTGCGGGGAGCGAATGGAATATGACAGCCGTGATGCCACCCCTAACAATAATTATCAACGGCTGCGCCTCGAAGGAATGATTGCTTGTGAGATATTCCTTTATGGGCTAGATTATTGCTGCGACGGCCACTGATTGGTTTTGTGTAAGCCCATGCTGCAACCAGAGACAGTAAGCTAATCACCATCATGAACGCTCGTAGTGGTATGGAATTGAAGCTCATGGAATCATGGCATTGAAATCATTTGTAGATCAGTTAAATGCTACCCATTGTGATTGGATTACCTAGTTACGTACAACAAACATGCATAATTGAAATTGAATATTTGTCAAGAGCATTGATATTCCCCACTGGCGTTCAGGACACCGCAACCCTCTGTCAGAATAGAGAAGATTTTTATTACCCACGAAGCAGCTCATGTTCCAGACGTTGATGGGGATTATGAAGTTCGCCAACAACGGACACTTGTTGAGGAGTGGGCAAAAGCGACACGGGAATTTCGTGATGTAAGCCGATTCACTACTTGGAAACAAAAAGGAAAAATGGGGGGGGGGGTAGGGGGGAGAGAGAGATGAAGAGCAAGAAGCGTTAACAATATACAAAGTCGTACCATAATAGGGTACCCCGAGGTGGCCCTGAGCAAGGTTTACGACTCATTCCTGACAACAGCCAACTTTGTGTGCTTGGCCCCTCTATCAGAATGCCATAGATCCAATCGATCCAGGTGGATTAAACTCTACATTTTGTCCTGCCGCTTGGACGGCGACATGGGCCATTGCGTTGATGTATATGGATCATGCCATCAGGGCTGGCGGAGTCCGACCAGAAATGATTGCTAAGTATGGGTTATCCTGCGCCATCTGAAAGACGAAGGAGAAGGAAAATGGGATACATTTGACTGACTGAGATTGTAAAGATTGGATATGACACTGCCAGTGATTGATATCTGTGTGCCAAGGCCCGAGAAGAATTCTTGCCTCACTTTGACGGAGCGAGGGATACTTGGGCTAAGGACATTGAGCTTTATGCCCCTGGTTACTTGCAGATGGAAGCCAAGGGTAACGAGGCGGACTATGATCACGCACATTTGATCGATCCGGAAGATGCATATGATATCCAGTCTAGCATGTAAGAGTTAGGAACACCAGCATAGTGGATGATGCAGCGTAGCCTGGCAGCCCTGGCTTGATGAACAGGCCTTCCCATGAGTAAGGCGTTTAGAAATCACAATAACCGTGGCTATGTATCTAATTAAGCCTTAATAACTCAGCAACCACTAGATATGTCAATTAGATCTTTGAATATTGATGAACTGGACACTAGGCTATCTAGCCATTTTGAAAAATGTAGGAATATCCTTATTTTAGGGTGCTTACGAGTCTTCACAGGCAGTATACACGAAGAGCATCTCGTGATTGTTACATAGATCAAGGCATAGGATAAGCTTCTGCAAGCACATAATCAGTGGTAGATAAATTATCTTATACATATGCAAAGGCAGCTATTAAGCTAGAAGGTGATCAAATATAGGAAGGTTGAACAGGCAAAGATAATGATGAGAGTATAATTAGAAAGGCTATCAGCTGAAAGGTTGGCTCTCTAGAAGACAAGACATCACTCACTCCAGTAAGCTCTAGCCACTTGAACTTCTGTCCAAACTCCAAAACTATATTTCCATATGTTAGATTTAATATTATATTCCTATAGAGTTGAATCCATCAAAGCGACCTATCATGTGAATTACTACAGAATGCTACTTAATAGTATCACACTTCTAAGCTTAGAAGCAGCCAAATGACTTTGGCACACAGACCACCTGGTCCGCGCCTCCCTAGATATTGATGTTTCTAGTCTTCACATTAGCTATACACTTGTGCTAAAACATGCCATGAGGTACATACACACGCTGCTTAATTATATACAACTCCTGCTGCTCATACTCCTTCCGACTAGCACCTAATTTCCCTTGCCGTGGGTCTTCTCCTTACGCAAGGTCAAATAATCGCCAATAGACCCATCATCACCGCGGATGAAATCCCACTTAACCTCCTTCTCACTCAGCACGGTAAGCCTACTGAAGCCATAGTGCGTGGTGTCCAGCAAGGCAGTGATGTTCTGGAGACTTTGGCCCGCGCTGAGCTCACTGTGGCTCTCGATGTTGCCAGCCATTCCGTTGACGATGTGGGTGATGGATTTGCCGGGGTTAGTGCGGTAGGTGTGGTTGTTGATAATCGACGCCGAATCAATGGTCCCGTTGGCGCCGAGGGGGTACATGCGCTCGTACCAGTGGATGTGTCTGCATCGGTCAGTATCTGTATTGACGATGGGCGAAGATGCAACATACCCAGACAGATAAGCATCAACACCGTACTGCAGGAATAATTCCTCGAACGCATCACGGAGATGCTTCTGGTAGCTCGAGTACGCGGAGCTGTACATGGGTCGGTGGCTCATGACAAACACCCAGGGGGTCTTCTTGCGGTCGACGTTGGCGAGATCGTTCTTCAGCCACTTGTATTGCGCGTAGGACTTAGTGTCCTTGAAGCTGCCGTCGACGGCGCCAAAGGGGCCGCTGTCGGTTACGTAGGTCTCGGAAGCCTTGGGAAGGGTCTCGTTTCCCTTGACATCCTCCTGGAACGGCCACTCAGGGCTGTTGGCGAAGTCGGTCTCGCCGTCCATGGAGACGAAGTGGGCCAGGCCGTAGTCGAACGAGTACCAGAAGTTGCCGACGCCGCCGGTTTCGGGGCCAGGCATGCGGAAGCGGTGCTGGTACGAGGTGAAGTTCCTGTGCGGGTTAGGTTGTGCTAGGGATTGCGGGGGATGGATCTTACCGTTGGGATGGAGGGCAGGAATAGTAGGTCAAGTTTGCCTTGGGGGCAGTGCCGTTGGAGATCCCGTTGTTTAGATATGCAGTCAACGCGTTGCCGGGACCATCGAACTCGGCGCACGCAGCCTCGTGGTTCCCGGGCAAAACCATGTAGGGTATCTTGAGCGTGACATTTCCCAGCCACTGCTGCCACAGGTCCCAATTGGACTCATACAGTACACTCATATCGCCGCCCTGGGGACCACCCTGGTTGGCAATCTCACCCGCCGGCAGAGGCTGTTTGTACTCGTCCGGGATGGGACCTCCACCAGGCAACTCGGTGCTAGTGCCATTGTAGCAGACAGGCCAGTCATCAGCACAGGGAAGGATACCACTATACCAATCGTCGGCATATGAGATATCACCGCCGTGCCAGGCAAACGCAGTGCCCTCGTTGGCGGCCTTGACGAGCTGTTTGAACGTGCCCCCTGCATTCGTGTAACCCATGTCGTTTAAGACGGCCACACTGAAGGGGCGACGATCTCCCGCGCGACGAGCAGTCTTGAAGCTCAAAATGTCGGACTCGGTGGTGCCGTTGGCAGCAGGAATCTGGTAGTAGTACGTTGTTCCGGATTCGAGGTTGTCGAGGCTGACCTCGTGGAAGAACTGGCTGCACTGAGTGACAGCCTTGACTTCGGCGCACGACGGCGTGCGGTCATACCTATTGCAGTTAGCTTCTGCTCTCTTTTTTTCTTTTTGTTCAATGGCAAGAAACATACGTGTGAGTATATCCATGAGCGACTTGATCCAGATGCTGGGGATGCTTGCCCCATTTCACGGAAGGCGTCACACCCAGTCCAAACGGGGTCTGGTAGTGGATGTGCATACCATCCGGCAAATACGACAGCGAAATCACATTGACATTGTTCTTGGGGTTCGCAGTCGCAGGCTTCACAGCAGGAGGTTCCACCAGACGGGGGAAGCCTTTTCCATTGCCATTGACGGTTGGATCAACCCAATCGCCGACGGGAACAGCGGGACCAGTGTACGGATAGCGCTCGTCGACCACGGGACGGGCCTGAGCGGCCGTCGCAGTGAGGGCGACCAGCAAAGCCGATGCGGTGGTTGTCTTCATTTTGCTACCTCAGGGAAGCGCGTTGATCGATTGAGAAAATTCCGATCCATCAAAGCGATGAGCTGATTTAAATCAGTCTGGTTGCTTATCTGTCGGAGGCGGAAATCTCCGACGAACGACCGTTGTAAACAAGTTTATCACTATCACACGTGGAGATGCCCAGATTAGCAATTGGCCAAGACCTGCAAAGCTTCGGTTAAGCTTGGGCTACTAACTACCGTAGCATGTGCTGGTTCCTAGACATTATCATTGGCTGGTACGAGTCAGGCCTCCCGACTACCTAGTTAAGTCACAATGATGATAAGTGCCTGAATATGATGTTGGAAACCCCTGTATAGTTATCTAGCTTACAGACAATTCTGGAAGGCTTTGATGCCGATTGTTGAATCATTTGTATTCTGCTACAGGATTGTATTGAGATTTTGTCAATATTATCAGGTCATGATACGTATTTACTAGATTTTGAAGTGAGATAGAAAGTATTATCGACCATTCTGATGATTTGTAAGATGTTTGAAGGGGTACTTGCAGATAGATTGTCATGTTTCCGAAAGCGGAAAGCCTTCACACCAGCAGAACATGAGGCCTGAATAAGGGATCGGAAATCTGCATGAAGAAAGACAACTTATCTTGGAGTATCATCTAATCGTAACAAATGAGCTAAATCAAATTGAAATTGATTCCTTGATGGCGTTCAACTCCTGCAGGCGTTGTTGGGCCGCCTCAACATTGTCCGCCTCCTCTCGCAACACCCTCTTCAACTCACAAATTGCCATCTCTGTCTTCTTAATCTCCTCCTTCTCACCTATAGTCCCATTTGGCATCAAACCAACCTTTTTCTCCGTCAATGTAATGGTCTCCCTCGCCGTTCGAAGCCTCGTCCGGAATGCCGTCGTCTGGTTAAAATACTCGGCTTCCTCCAATGGAACCTCCAACTTTTTCGGCGTCGTTTCGACAATGTCCAGCCACTTAGACATATGCGACCATCGATGTTCTTCCAGACCAGGGAAATGTACGAGCAGATTCCCCCTTTCGCCTTCATAAGCGTGCATCCATTCGTAAGTGTTGATCCATGTGCGCGGTACATAGGTCATGCCATCTTTGTATCCATAACCGTCGGGCCCACCAGTTGCTTTACTGAGGACCCGTGCCATGCTTTCCTGGTCTACAGAGCGGCGCAGAGTCTCATTAGGGAAGTAGTGAGGGTACGCGAGACTCTCGACGAGCATGTTGATGGTCCATGGGTGGATGTGCAGGAAGATAATTCCCGTGTTGAGGCCGTTGTGATCTTTCGTCGCAACGAAGTGGATATTATCAAGATCAGAAGGGGGAGAAAGATCTCAGCGGGCACCGCACTATTGAGAATAATCGAGTCTGCGTCAACCCAGCTGTCGCAGTCAGTATGTTCCCCATCTCTCCAGCCTCTGGTATGGGCAGGCATACATGAACCAGTCCACCCTCTCCCCCAGAGGTTTGGCTAGTTCATTAATCACCAACGACAATAAATAGCTCGGTTTATTCCAGAACCCAACAGAGATGTCCTGCCGCAGAACATGCATAGGATATCTTCATCTTCGTGCGTGTCGGATATGACTCTGGAGTGCTCTTTTGTATAGCCGGTTGGGCTTCCCGTACAGCATCGACACCTTGGCTATTCGATTTGTAGAGGAGCTTGGAAACTCCTCCCGCTAGGAGAACGAGCCATACGACTGACCTAAAAGCCGGACGAAGCATAACAGGGAGAGGACAATGAGTGTAATGATAAGAGGTCAGCGATGGCGGCTTTGACGCATAGCGTGGACGATCATTATTATCACATAATTAAACTACTCCGCGGGGTACAGTAATGGAGATCAAGAGGAAAAGGTGGTCTGTCTTCTTGTTGAAAGTGGTGGATGTTGGAGTATAAGAGAGAGGTCAACCGCATCCGGTGTTGCCGCATTCGGTCATCCTCGACCACGGTTTTCGACCTCATTTTCTCACATATTCAAGCAGCTAAATCCTCCCAAAGTGAGACTGGGCTTCTTAGACCTTTTCTTTGTATCTCAAATGCACGGAATATAAATACCTGGGGATTTGTTCGGGGAGCCCATTTAATACCGAGTCTCGCGGACTCCAAATTGTCGTAATCATTGGCAGATACATACGCCGAGGGAAAAGCAGAGGTATTCTAGCTATGATCGCCTCATAAATAACTTATCAGCTGCAGAGATTCCTAGCATGCTAAAATCATATGGGTTGACAACTGGAGAGGAAAGTTCTGATGTCGGTCGGCCTAAGACAGCTTTCAATACTCGTGCGGATTTTTGTAGAATAAGATTAGGTACTAAAGCAAGCAATTTTAAAAAAAGGAGTAATTAGAGGCCGTTATAATTGGCCTTATCTGGACGGCCAGATTATGTTTCGCCAGCTTCGAATATCTAAATGTCGAATGCGCGCTCAGAAATTGTCCTATATAATGCGACCTCTGGAGTCTTCAGAGGGGAAATGGTTCTCAAATTCTGCGTAAGACACTCAATAATTACCCGAGATACATCCTGTCTTCATATGTGAACGTCATTATCCTTCTGCGTGAGTGAATGGCCATGATTTCTTCTTCGAACGGAGCGTGGTCACGAGCAATTGGGAAACCCTATCTCGGATACCTGGGAGCCTGAAACTAGCCCAAAGACGCACATGAATAATGCAATCTACATCGATTCAACTCCAGGGACACATCATATTTGTCATTGAGGGTTGAAGTTCTATATGTTAGCAGACCACGAGCCAGAGAAGGGCTTCATAGACGACGGTGGCCCAAAATCCATCCACCGGGGTACTAGTGGAGTGCTACTGGTGCCTTGGTTACTGCATATTGCTTGTGCATCGCTCGAATGTGTAAGGAATTGACGTCGTACAACCTCGGTTCGATTCGATGCTCGATGGGGAAATTTGCCTCTCAGTAAAACATTATCCAATGAATTCGGTTGCGCAAACACCGGTCGTTGTTGTACCGCTCAAATAAGCTGTTGGAAACTTTGTAGACCGGCATGTTATGTTGTCAAAAACTGCAGTCCTATATCAATATCACATTGCGATTCTGCGTCTTGTTGTGATACAGTGTGCGGGGACATGATGATTCCCGAGAGTCGCACAGTCCTTGAGAGCGTAGTAGGCCGAGTCAAGGTTACCAATATGCTCATGATTGGGACGTTCTACTCTTCGATTCTCTTCCCTCCCAGGGTGGTAATGATTGAGTAGTGGCATAAATCTAGCCGGGGGGCAGCAAACATCCAATCATTACTCCAGCATAGGCATGGTTCGGAATGGTTATCAAATTACTCCGGATCGGAGCAGACGAGGCCTTCACAGAGAATAGAGCCGGACACCATGTTCCTCGGCAGTTGGCTCTGAGATATTGAATGTTGCAATAACATGTTTCGGGGGAAGCCAGTTACACAACATCGGTAACACGGCCGACCACAGTAGCCTTGGCCAGGCATAACCAAGGCATGTCCATCAAAGATCGTTGCGTTGATATCAGGTAGAGAGATAGTCATCCCAGCATGACTGACAGTCACAGGGAGCAAAACTGGATATTGGCAGTAGGTTTTCACATGGATTCAATGTATGAGACCTTGAGAGTTGCGAAGCTTGCATGGTTCATATAGCTAGAATATTGGAATACACTAATTATTATACATGGCTCTGGTGATTCCAATAGACTCTCACACAGAGGATTTATGGACTATATGGCGTGATGACTACTTTTATGGTAAGTATGTAAAGGATATATAAATTTCCTTTGTAATGTATGATATAGTCATTAAATTAGCATCCTACTATGCCATTCAGCTTTACAGCATATCCATGGATTCACTTCTGCAAACCTATTCACATATGTTATAATCACAACATGGATGAATACATGTGTTACTAGATTTAACCTGTGATATGTCTACCACATGGGCTTATTGAGGTAGACTAAGCATGTGTTATGCAGTGGAAGGCTCCCTCAACCAGGGCCCTCCTCTATGAGAAGATGCCAGTGTGACACCAGGGAATGAAACGGTAGTAGCTAGCAGTATCTCGAATTCTGAATTCTGAACATCCAAAATTGCCTCATGCGCGCAGACTTGCCGTTGTCAACCGAGGTCTGCTTGAGTTGTATGCGGGATCCAACCTATATAAGTCTGCTCATCTCTCAACAATGCCATTGACCCGCCGATTCAAAAGTTCAAGGATATTATATTTCAGCTATCTGCAGCAGAAGTCTCGATCATCACTGGAATCGCCGTTTGGAATCCACCATGAGGCTTTCTACAGTTCTCAGTGTCCCTCTTCTCTCTGCTGCTGTCCTTGCAGGACCAGTGGCAGATCCAACCAAGTCCGTCCCGGCCAAAACCCTCGATCCTGGTAACGGCGGCCTTCCAAATCCGGTTACTATTTTCTTTGGGCTCTTCGGGGCACCGCCTTGTTCTGTACGTTATCCCCAGCCCACCTGCATGACTAAGGATGGACTAATGCTGGTCTACCAGTTCGGATGCATCGACACCGCCATTGCAGGAACACCAGCCTGTACCGGCGTCTTGAACGTTGCGTGCTTTTGCAACCCAAACGGAGCTTTTGTGACTTCAGTTACCAATTGCGCTGCTGGTGTCTGCAGTCCGGCAGATGCTAGCACACTGACGGGAGCCCTTCAACGAGGGTGCGGTTTTGTCGGTGTTCCCATTTGAGGTGTGGGTATGTAAGGTCGGTGAGACGTTGGGTGTTCTAAGATGCCTCAAGTATAATCTCTTAGTACTACACTACTAGGAAAGCATCAGCATCAATGGTTCTTTTAGCATCCAGTGTCCATATGGCACGATGATTTGTTATCATGCAGTTTATACCAGAGTGAAATCAGTTGATCACATGACCTTGCCTTTCCATCAAAATAGGTACATTGTGAAAGTATTAAGCAAACAGAAGAAGAACATTCTTCATTGGCCCCTTTCACAACCTTGAAAATGGTTCAGTGTTGATCATTCTCTTCGTGGATAGAGTCAAGGCCTTGGAAAAACCGCACCGGTTGGGATTCAAAATTGGTTAGCAGGGATCTAAGAACATGGATAAAAAACAGCATCAAGTCGTATCTCTGGTTTCTAGGTAAAATTAGAGACATACTCCACATCTAGGGCAAAGCAAGCTACACTTGTAATGCTTATCTGGTGACTTGTTAGCCATTCTCATTACCACTTCTAGAGGTTTTCCAAACATCCTGCACCCTGCCAGAGGATAAATATGCATCAGACCTGCAGAATCATGGCGGAGATGCCATATTAGGGTTACGATACTATGCCTAAAGACAATACAGATGAGATGTCTGCTCGTGTACCTCCCCGCAAACAAGGTGCTGTTTAATCTACGTAGGCAAACGATATGATAATAAAATAGATTGACTATCCCTTGGTGCCAGTGAGGTTGAAATCGCTGGTTCCACGCAATAAAAGCCATGAATAACAAAATCGCCATTAGACCAGAAATACCCGGCGTTTCCTATCGAAAAGTTCAGGATTCCTGGTCCAATCCCAAGCCATAAATCTGAGAAATAAGCTCATGCCTTGCAAACAACTGCATAATCGGAAACCCTGATCGCATCTGGGGTTGAGCTCAGAAGTGCGACGAAACGCGCGGGCGAAAGAGACACTGAATGTCCCCATTTCAGGAAGGCTAACTCTAGGCCGTACAGACACCAGCAACACAGTTGGGTGTTCCTCCGGTACACTGGATAGGTTATAGACAGTCAGACACTCTAGGAGTACTCCGAAGGCATTGGTGCAGATACTCACCGCATTACCACAGCTTCCGCAATTGGCAGGGTCCGTTAAGGTATTAGTGCAAGTGTCCGCGCAGCAAGCGAGGCTTCCATCGGTGCACTATAGAGATATGAGATCTGTCTTATCATGAGGATGTACAATGACTTACGCAGGTTGCGCCGCATGGCGGAAGGCTTGTATCAGGACATACACAACTTCCAGAAGTGCAGGTCGAGCCACCAGCGCACTAGGGGTGGTTGGGGATTAGAATCAGGTTTCTATCATAGGGAATGTCTTGAAGGATGCCTTACAGCATTACCACATGTTCCACAGTCAGTGGCAGTTGTTAGATCGGTACAGACTCCGGTACAGCATCCCTGATTAGCTCCACACTGTAGTAGGTTTATAACGGTAAGTTTGGTTCCTGATGCAGTCCTTAGGTGGGATGACTTACAACTGTGGTGCAATCACCACAGGCAGCAGGAGTGTCAACCGCAGTACAGATGCCACTGCAGCAGTCTTGACCTACAGGACACTAGAGGAACTGTGAGCTATTGTACCTTGGGCTGAAGATTTATGGTTAACTCACAGCATTGCCACAAACTCCACAATTAGTAGTGGTATCAATGGCAGTGCATGTTCCAGCACAGCAACCAGAATTAGGTCCTGTGCACTTTAAGAGATATCACTCAGCATTTTACTAGCAGAAATAATATTAGGGGTAGGAATGACTTACAGCAGTACTACACGATCCACAGCTCGAAAGGGTGCTTTGGATGCTGGTGCATTGTCCATTACAGCAAGCGAGATTGTCTGAAGTACACTATGTAGATAATGTCAGATCTGAGAAAGGTAGTTAAAAGGGCTTGAGCAACATACACAAACACCATTGCAAGGTGGTAGACCAGTAGCTGAACAACGGCAAGCACCATTAACACAAGCCGAACCCGTAGGACACTGCCATGAGTGAACATGTTAGTTATGAACTTATCTTGCTGGGATGGTTTGACATACAGCGGTACCACATGCTCCACAGTTGGTACTTGAAGTCAAGGACGTGCATACTCCATTGCAGCAACCTTGGCCAGCCGTACACTAATAAGAGGTTAATAGCTAGTTTATATCAACATAGAATTCAGAGTAACTTACAGCAGTCCCACATGCTCCACAATTAGTTGTCGTGGTTAGAGTAGTGCAGACGCCATTGCAGCAAGACTGCCCAGCTGCACACTGTTATAAGGGTTAATAAGTGCCCAGAAGCTTATTGAGTCCTAAAAGTATGGTAAGAAAAGTAATGACTCACACATTTATTGTTACAGGTTGGCTGATTATTATTTAGAATACAGATACAGTTGCCATTGCTGCAGATCGAGCCAGTTGGACACTATGGTAATCAAGTTATATTAGCACAACACTTTTCTGGCATCATAAGGGTAGCTCTACTCACAGCGCGACCACAAGATCCGCAATTCGTCGGGTCAATGGATAGTAGGCGACAGACTCCGCTGCAGCAGGAGAAACCACCAGCACACTTAATGTTCTGTGATGAGAACTTGATCGTTTCAGCACCAAGCTTGGAGTGGTACTTACTGCAGGGGAGCATGCCTGAGCATATACTGTGCTAATGAGGCTTGCTAATAGATTCGAAAATCAGAACTGCATGAGGTATTCGACAAGCTTGGATAACTTAAGCTTACCACATAAAATGAGAACAAACATAATTGCCTTCGCCATAATGAGAGGTGTTTAGTTTCTTGATGAATAAAGTCTGGTATAATCTGATCAAAGTAGTGTTCATTTGATCTGGGGATCTGAGCCTTATATATCTGATTCTTGGTAGAGTCCAACAGCCTATGTTCATTGCTTCAACAGAGCATTGAACGGGATCATCTATAATATTTTTCTGAGTCTGTCATACACCCGTTTAGAGTAAACATGAGTGTCTGCACAACCTCTACAATGCTCACAAGACAAGAAAACAGACCTGATCATTGCGATTGAGATAGCTTTAGTCAATAAGCTGATGTTAATTTTCAGATTTGAGAGCCGGTAATGAGAGGGTTCATGCTCATTAGGGCCTCTGGGGGAATACTGTACAACCACACTCGGGAAGGCTGTTTGATCAGGCCACTTTCAGTATACACCAAGCTTACAAAAGTGCAAAAGTCATCTTGTGTAGTTTGACCAGGATTGCTGTTAAATTAGTTTGTCTTCTCATAGATCTTTGGTCTGCGGCAGATCATCTGTCATCTGACAATAATTTTGAGTTACTTTCACAGAGTCAAAGCTCCAAAGGCATCATATGATAGCTAATTGATGCCATGATTGTGGCTTTGGCTCCTCGAGTACTTATCCCTAAGCAATTAACCAGGTCCCTCCGACCCTGAGCCAAAAAACTGTATTAGCTGCAAGCTTTACCAGACACATCATTTGAATATAAACCTGGTACCCAAAGCAATTTATGGCTGTTGTCTCTTCAGTTAAGCTATATTAATTTGGCATTCTTAGTATAAGAGCTGACTGCATGTCGTCGCACTTGGAGGGGTACATTATAGCTCTATTGACAGGTTGCACAGATTCACTTAAGGTTATTTGATTATTATTCTCTTCTGTGTCAGTCATCATTCAAGAAGGCCTGTGGTCCAATGCCATTTTGTTCAGAAGTTTACTCATTATGTCTGCTGCTGCAGAAAAGAATGTAAAGTAACATATGCCTGCAAATCATGACACAAATAAGTTGATCACTGTTAGGACAAGTGCTTTATGGTGTACTGCAACCACTGCTTTATGTTCAAACCTAACTAAAGCCGACACCAAATCTAGATTACCTTTAATACCAAGGGAACTAATTTCCGGCTATGCTTATTCTTTGTTCCTGACGGTTTGCTATAATAAAACCCACTTTCCTCTTTGCCCCTGCATCAGAGCATTGCTTCACTGGTTACAGTTACATGACACAGCCTGTTTGTCTCCTTCCCGAGGCGTACAGTCACATATTTAGGGGACAAGGTTCTAATCACCCTCCGTTTATTCGGGAGGACATGGTTACACCCATAGGATCGTCCTGTGGCAAACACAATGTCAGCATTGGGCTGATTCCCAAGCTTGAGGAACCTGGCAGCAATAACAATAGGCATTTCTAATATGAAAAGGGTTGATTCCTCGCGAAACAGTCTATAGTCACCTGCCTGATCAATGCTATTCATCCCTACCATGCTTGTCTAGCAACCTGCTCATCAGACTGTGTTCATCATGCAGATGATTCTTCTCCGTTGCACATTTGTTCTTTGTGAGCATGGAATATGCCCCGGCAATTTGCCCTACAGGAAATCGCAAGCTGACCATGTCTAGCGGGTCTGATTAGTATTGGGCATAGCAAAGAACCACCAAGCAATGTAGGTCTCCTCATATCATCAAAGGCTTTTCATGGCATACTCACCCGACTAGCAGACCTTGAGTGGTCCAACTTCACCATATGCATCAGGCAAACATGTCAGCTACAGCAGTGCTGCTGAAAGGCATGAAGACATTATTGTACGGAGACATTCTGCCTACGAAGCCATCTACTAAAGCTTCAAACAGTGCCCTATTGGATCGGTACTCGTTGGAGGAATTTGCATTTGCATACTTACAGGCCAACGAGTGTGCGGCACCACATGTGTACGTCCACCCTCAGTTAGACCCAGGTGTCTATAGCTAAAAGGAGGTACTTTGCAGTGCCCATCTGGCATAGGATGTTGCAATGGTTTTTGTACTTCGCTAAATACCAATACCGACTGTGGGGCATGCGGTAACGTTGTAAGTCTTTTGTTGACGCACTCATATTAAGTTTCGCATGATTCTGACTCGAGAAACTCTTAGTGTCCCTCTGATGCGAGCTGCATTAATGGCGCGTGTCGATGCACCAGTGGACAACAAACGTGTAATGGTGCTTGTGTACGTTCTAGCCTCGATATTCTAACAGGATAAGACTGATGTGATTAAACCTTCAGTGTACCACCGGTCAGACATGCTGTGGGGGAACATGCACAGATTTAAACGGAGACAGGAATAACTGCGGTCAGTGTGGAAGAGTGGTATATCATTTGAGACTATCCTATAAGTCGTCAAAATGCTGGAAGCTGATTATGACATAGTGTCCGCCGAATACCAACTGCGTCCAGGGCACCTGCACATGTACAAGTCCTTGTGGTGGAGGCTGTGTAGGTCGGAGCCTATCCCTTGATGTCTGAAACTGAAGCCTACTGATCCTAACATTTGGGAAGTGTGATATCGGTCAAGGCTGTTGCGACGGGGCCTGTACTAATCTAGACACGGTTGATAACTGTGGCGCTTGTGGTCGTGCTGTAAGTATCATCCATTCTAGACCATGGAAACTGAAAGTTGGCCTGACCGGATCTAATAGTGCCTGTTTGGCGAAGGGTGCTGTGATCAGCTCTGTAGACCCCTTACTGTGAATGATAATTGTGGACAATGTGGGAATATAGTGAGTTCTAATCTACGATATCTTCTTTGTCCTTGATATGTCTAACCTACTCTCTGCTATTTCATAGTGCCCCAGTGGCTCAGTCTGTACAGGAGGTGCATGCCTCTGCACCAGCAGTGGATTGGCTCCTTGCAATGGACAATGTGTAAGTCACCTTTTAGATCCGGTATAAAGCCACCAATATAGCTGAGAGGTCCTACAGTGCCCACTAGGTGCTCAGTGCATTGGCAACTCCTGTGTCTGTACTGTAAATGGTCAAACCCCCTGCAGTGGGCAATGTGTATGTACTACAAGTGTCTGCCGTCTCCGAGTGTTCAACTGACCTAGAACCTCGACGCAGTGCCAAGCTGGTCAACTTTGCTGTGGTGGAATCTGCAAAGACGTACTCCGTGATAATAGCAACTGTGGGGGTTGCGGTCTTATGGTAAGTTTTGCTATCTTTCTCTGGCAATGCCAGTTTCTGGGGGAAGCTAATTCTTCTATCTACAGTGCCCGACAGGTTCAAATTGCGTCAACGGTGTCTGCGTGTGCGATATTTCAGGCACGCCCCCCTGTAATGGACAATGTGTAAGTCGATGAAACCTCAAATCTTCAGACAGTCTATTGACTAATTTGATTGTCCTAGTGTCCGGCTGGCTTGCTGGGTTGCTGCAGTAACTCGTGTACCGACCTTCAAAACGATGGAAACAATTGTGGAAGATGTGGCAATACTGTAAGCCAACTAAGTGCCTTATGCTCCTTGTCAGGTTAGCTAAGAACCCTGCCTCTAGTGTCCTGGTCCCATGGTCTGTGTTGAAGGGGGTTGCACGCAATGAAGGCAGAATGAAGGCTTTGGTGTCCAAATTGCTTCGCGAGTCTTATGGGTGCAGATGATCAGACGTCCAGTCCTCCTTCATAGCCAAAGGACAGCGGTGTTGCTGTACTGGTCGAATATTCTTGTCCATTGTAGTATTGAAATTATTAGCAATTATTCGCGGACAGATACATGTTCACTATTTTAAAGCTTTGTTTCCAAGTAGCAGAGGCGATCATCGGATCCCATTCATTATGACCGAAGACTGTTTCGGAATGCTTCACAATCTGTCGAATGTCAACATAATCCCCATAACAAACTTGGATAAAAAGCGGCATACCTCTCTCATCATAGAACACAATCTCCAGCTGTCGTATGTGGCGACCTGAACTCGACATTGACAGGTTTGAGTGCCGTGAATCGTTCGACATCACACTGGCAATGCTCCCCATCGAATTCCGCCTGGTTATGGCCTCTCCCTGCAGTTGAAGCCTGGTTGATAACTTCGAGGACTTGAGTTCAATGAATCCGTCCACTGGCATATTCAGTAACTGCATTGCGAGGTTTGATGAGCTGTTATAGAAACGGTACATACAAGGCCATTCCAAAAAGCCCATCTTTGCACTCGAGCCTTGCTTGAGTTTGCCAAAGTAGAGTAAGCTCCGCGCTGATGTGAGCGGGTCCTGGAGAATACGGATGGTCTCGAGCGAGCAGTGTTCCTCGACGCCATCGGCGTTGATATATTTGACATCTCCGCAGTAGAGCATGTTTCGCCCTAGGAGTATGCTCTGGAAAGTGACGAAATCTGGATCCGATTAGGGGTTGTAGTCCTGAATGAAATAGTAGTACTCACCAGCCTGCTTCCGGCAGATATATACCGGCGAGATGGCATATCTTTCGACAACACCGTTTGACTCGATCTTAACACGGTGAGACCCCTGAAAGCATATCCTGAACGGACAGGTCGGATCGTGGACCACATGAGCACTCTCGACATATGGAATCATGGAGCTCTGGACTCCTCTGAATGTCGATTCGTGGATCCTGTGTGTTATTTTCACGGTGCCGCTCAAATCCGTCGCCTCGATCAAGCCAAGTTCGCGGGTACGATGATGGAGGTAGACGCTTATCGTGCATTTAACCGCTTTGTGCAATTCGTGGTTCTTTTGATTCGGATCCGGAAACTGTCTGTGACAATGTAAGCAAGCCGCAAATATAACTGTGCTTCTTGGCATGAGAGCATACATCAGTACAGGAGATTGCGTCTCTACTCTCGTGCACCGGTAGCGAGTACTGATGGGCTCAGTCAGTGGAGGCGTGGGCGGCGGTTCCGCGGGAGGGTCATTCTCGCGGGGCGAGTCTTCCCTTCGCGCTGGGGTGATCGCTCGCTCCTGGTGCAGGAGCTGGAATTTAACCCAGTCGCTGAATTTCTCCCACTCATCAATCTCCTTGTTCAAGATCCGAGCTGGCTCCTTGGGTTTAGTCGGTGCGTTCAACGCCAGTTGACCAGGAACCGTGACATGCTTGAACCCAGCCTGATTCAAAGCGCCACGAATGTCCGCTCGGATCTGGTCTAGGAAGCCGACGACGGGCATGTCACGGCGCATAATGAGATGATCTAGCTTTTGGGAGACGTTTTGGATGCGAAGAAGGGGTTTCGACTCCCGCTTGTCGGACCTTGCACTAGGTAAGATATCCAGCAAGGATGGCAATTGCTCCGTGTCTCGTAACCGTGGCAAGGCTCGCTGGCCAAGCTCCGATAAGAGCCGACTTTCCAGTGTATTGTCTCCGCTGTTAGAAGTATGTCCTGGCATGCATTGGCGGAGGATGAATGATATCTGTAAGCTCATGATTCTGCAAGGTCAGTCAGTCACGGTTCGGGACTTATGGCGGAGTTGTCTTCAGTATACTTAATTGCACGCAGAATTTCCAGATTCTCCTGTCTCGCCTGTTTTGTTATATCGATCACTGTATTGGTAGCCATCAAGTTGGCGAGCTGGACATTCCGCTCAAGCGCACGGCGAAGTCGCTCCGCCTCTTTGCGTTCTATCGGCCACGAAACTTGATGGAAAACGGTCTTGACTTTGCCGGAGACTTTGTGCCATTGCAAAGCTTCTTTCGGTCCGCCGGGATGTATATCGCTCGCGAGTCTTTCGTGCTTCTTGACGAATTCGGTGCAATCGGTGATCGTCTGCTGATACGACTGGCCAAGGGCAATCCTCTTGGAGGCGGGGACATCTTTCTCTGCCTCTTGTAACTCTTCGATGGTTGCTCTCATCAACTCGAACTCAGCTTTGAACTGTGTAAAATCGACTTTTGCATTTTGAGCCCCGTCAGCGATACACTTGTAGACATCCCAGGCAATCTGGGCGGCTTGTAACACATCCCCGGCGCTCCAGCCGAAGCTCATCACGTATAACGTCGACAGTCAAACAATACCTCAGGATTTGGCAATGGTGGTAAGGCCGAAGAGGATGAGGTTTCATCCATGGATCAGCAAAAGTGGAACTCAAACGAAGAGCATGAGCCATGGGGGAGAAACGACATGCGAACGGTCCCCACCCTTTCTGATAGCATGGCTCGGGCGTTGCCAGGCTAGCGGCTCCAAATGCGCCTGCCTCCCACGCGCGGTGGAAGAATAGAATACATGCCTCATCAGCAGCATCTCAATGGGCGCTTTGTGGCAGTGAAGGGCATTCATCGTATAAAAGGTCATCCATCACACATGGCGGCGCCAAGGGGACTAGCACCGATGACTGCTCTCGGTCCAATAGCGCCCGTCGTCTACACAACGTGCATCATTCTAACGGCATCTTTGGTGAAAACTTGCGCAAAGTCGGATTCAGTCATTAATTCCCTGCCTATCGTCTCGCGTTGCAGTTTGCCGGAGGTCTCGGGTCTGTGCAGGCCTGCAGGCCTCGTGGTCGACTGGGCACGTCCAAATCCGACTCCGCCCCTGGATTTCGACATGGGAGATTATGTGGCTGTTGCCCGTCCTTCGTGATATTTGCCTGGGCAAACTTTTTTCGAATCCTCTGAGGCTCTGGCTTTGGCCAAGGCTCTTCAGCCTCGTTTTGATAATGATTTAGGGGTGGGGGATGGCTGCCAGTAGGCAGCGGGAGAAGGCACTTGCGACTTTTCCTCGACTTACTTCTTGGATCCTGATTCATATTCTAGGTTGAATCAATACACTTAACGCGAAATATGCGTTTAGCCGCTCTGGGTCAGCAATTCTACCCATGGAAGGAATATCTGGACTTCCGGCACCATACAGTGAGGATCCGTGGATACAAAAGCTTAGGCGAGCAACAGTGGTTAACCGTAAGAAACAGCCCGCTCAAAGACATGCCTACATTATCGGTCGACTTGAAAGCGCTCGACGACGCGAATGGATGTGGATCGTCGTCGTAGCAGGTGTCGGCTTCTTCACCGATGCATACAGTGTACGTCTCGGCGCGCGTACTAGACAGTATTCATCAACTGATTTTCCAGATCTTCTCCGCCAACATGGTTCTACCCATGATAAACATTGTTTATTGGAACCATTCGAACTGGGCCGAGTCGAATGCAGTCCCACACAACTACGAGGTGGCTCTCAGTATAGTCACTCTAGGCGGTGCTCTTCTTGGCCAGATCGCCTTTGGCGTCGCCGCCGATGTCTGGGGACGAAGCAAGATGTACGGCATGGAGTTGGTTATTCTGATCTTTGCCACGCTGGGACTGGCGTTGGCGTCTTCAGGAGCAGAGAACTCCATGTCTGCTATCACCCTGTTCTTATTTTGGCGCTTCCTGCTCGGTTTTGGCTTGGGTGGAGATTATCCCCTTTCGGCGGTCATTTGTTCAGAGTATGATCCTCTTCGGCTTTTCGTAAGCGTAGCTGATAATCTCTAGGTTCGCACCGACTCGACTACGCGGCCGACTGCTTGCAACGGTCTTTTTTTGTCAGTCTCTCGGACAGCTCGCTGCGCAACTGGTTGCTCTCATCGCGGTGGCGGGCTTCCAAAACCATCTACCCACCGACCCTGATACGACCACATGTGCAGGAAGCTGTATTCGAAGTCTCGACACCATCTGGCGTCTGCTCGTTGGATTAGGAGCAGTGCCTGCCTTCGTCGCATTGTGGTTCCGACTGACGATCATCGAGTCCCCTCGCTACACAGCAGAAGTCAAAGACAGCGTTCAGGCCGCCAACGACGTATCACAATTCTACCAACGCGTTAGCCTTGATAGTGCATCAATAAACAGTATAGAAGCACCCTCTCTGCAGCCGTCAGGTTCATTCCGCCTCTCACCGACCCAATCAGCCAACCAACCGCAAGACCGCCCTGCTTCCGCTGCCTCGTTTGCAGAACAAGACGGCACCTCCCCATTGACAATCTGGAAAGACTTCAAACTCTTCCTCGGGCAGAAGAACAACCTCAAGAAACTGGCCGCAACATCCTTGTGCTGGTTCTGCCTCGATCTCCCCTTCTACGGGCTAGGTCTCATGAGTCCGCGAATCACGCGAACCATCTGGTTCGGAAGCCAGCTGCCCCAGACTAGTTTGTATCAGCTACTCTTCCAGACCGCGTATCAGAGTATTGTTGTCGTTTCTTCTGGTGCTATCGTGGGTAATCTGCTCTCAATCCTGGCGATCGATAAACTCGGACGGCGCAATATCCAGCTGAATGGATTCTTCTGGCTATTTTTGCTCAATGTGGTTATCGGCGCTGCGTTCCAGCATCTGGTGGGACATGATGACCCATCGGCGTTGGTGGTGTTGTATATTCTCTGCCAGATATTCTTCAACTTTGGTCAGTATATCCTCACACTATGTCCATTGACTATGCTAATATGCCGCCTAGGACCCAACACGACAACATATATGGTAGGTCTCCTGGTGCTCACATTCAGGAAAAAGGAAGCTGACCGCCAGCTCCCCGCTGAACTCTTTCCAACTCGATTCCGGTGTACCTGCCACGGCATCGCGGCCGCCTGCGGTAAACTCGGCTCGGTCATTGCGCAATGCTTCCTGGCGTATGTGAATTTCGGGAACGGGACGGACTATACCAATGTACCGGATTGGTTGGGATATGCTCTTCTCTGGTAGACTCCTTTCGGAGAACTTTCCTGGTGAATTGTACTGACTGGTGGCTAGTTTATCTTTCTTCATGCTCATGGGGCTACTGATCACATACTTCTTCATTCCTGACGTCCGAGACAAGGATGGACGCATCAAATCCTTGGAGGAACTTACAGATGGCATGATGCCAGATGCTGGATTTTCACGGGCTGTGACGAATGGATATGCTGCACGTGGATCAAGCCCTGAGATGACTCAAGTGGATGGGGATAGTGTGGCAGTATAATGTTGAAGGACTCCTGATTTATTGTTCGGATAGTAAATAGACCCGCTCACAAACAAAGAATGGCTTTCCGTTTACGCCAGTCCCGATGAATTATAGGAATATGCTGTCGGTGGAGATGGCCAATATTGAAGAGAAGCCCGAAAAGAAAAGATCACCATGAATGATGTCCCCAACAGCTTCCTCCTAGTGGGGCTTCCTTCCATAGGCAACCACACTAGAAATATTAGCTTCTCAACCGATCAAAGAGCGGCATCGGACATACATCTTTGTATACGAGTGCATCTGCGGATCCTTAAGCTGCTGCCTCACCAGCGCCTGCAAGATCTTCGTCTGATCGGAACTCCACCCCAAAATCTGCGTACACAGGCGGAGACCATACGCCTCCACGGCATTGTGAACCATATGCGCCTGGAACCGTCCGATTTCCCTCTGCCGGGGATCCTTCGGCCACGGCGAGAAAGGCAGGATGTACGTCCGCTCATGCACGTCTTCAAAGCCGGTATCGATCAGCAGCCGCTTCAGATCCTTATACACGTTGAGTTCGCGTCCGATCTTCTTGCCTGCATCGTCAAGAGCTTGCAGGTATCGCGCAAGGGGTGAGTCCATCTTCAGCGAGCCATCGTCGCTCCAGGCCCAGACGGCGCTTTCTTGGACCTCGAAGTAGCCGCCTGGTTTGAGGTGCTCGTAGGCTTGGCGGTAGAGGCGGGGCCAGTCGGCGACGCATCTGGGACGGTCAAATCGTGTTCATCAAAAGCAGTGCGGGACGTACCCGGCGAGGTTGCGCGAGTGGATGAGGTCGTATGTATTCGGCGGCTCCAGCCAGTCGGCCTCGATATCGTCGATGAAGAATTCGCAGTTCTGGGGCAGCCAGGAAGGCTGGATGGGGCTGAGGTCGTTTCCAATGACGATTGCCTCGGGGTATTCGCTACTTGGATCAGTCCATCTTCGGGTAGCAAGGCGGATCATCGTACTCTGCGAAATCAATTGCCCAGATTCCGGTGCCGGTGCCGAGATCAAGGACTTTTTGCGGGTTGGTAATGGGAGCATTGAAGAGTTTACCACCCATGAGCATGAGGTATCTATCCTTCCGGTTATCATCAAGTTTAAGACAGGGTGCTTATGGTTCAACTCGCATGTGGTGTGACTACAACATGTTAGTGAGTTCATATTGGCTGGGAGGACTAACTTGCCAGATCAAGCCGTTCCTGCTCAGTCTCATCGTTTGGCATCCTGTATGGTCAGTATGGTGAATCTTGGATAAACTATGAATGATTTACATATAGTGTCCCTGGCCAAGTTCGTCAGCAACCCCTATTATCACTTTCCATGGCATGATCTTACCGCACGACCACTTGGGTACCGCCGCCCGTTCTCATACTGGAACTCCAGAATACTCGATGTGATAGAAGCGGTGTCAAGGAAATCTTCCCCGAAGTCACTAGCCCCTGTCTGAGCAGGGATAAGACACTCCGTTCTTGTGTCTGATATGTTCAGGGTACATACACTGTTATCAATATCATGGCCTGGTACAGGTGATGGCGCGTCATCAGTATTGTTAGTGGCGATAGAATTATCACTCGAGTCGTCCGCATTGGGTGTTTCTAATGACACGTTATTGGTAGCAGTACTCAAAGAGATACCATGATCTTCCACAATTCCAGATGGTGCTGCTGGAGGGGGTGACCTTGCCGATTCTACCATGGTGATTTCTGTTCTAATATTGGGAACGTTCAAAGCACAAGGGGAGAAGAGTTAAAGATCTTAGTGTAGAGTTGCTTCTCTATGGTATGGAACAAGAAGAGGAAATGCTAATGTGATGATTGGCGATGATAATACTAGCTATCTAGGCTAGATATATGTGCTTGTAGGAGAGTCCGTACATCACGTGGCCAACATGTGACAGCTGGAGTACTGAATTCAAGCCCACAAGGACCTGGGAGCTTGGGCCTCTAGTTTAGATCACCGCTAAGCTTTTCTGGGCCTAGAATGTGTTGATATCACGTAGTCACTTCTACGCAGAATTAATCTACCATGTTTAGCCAGTTCTTCATGTTTGCAGATTACAAGGAGAGAATGATTGCAAGGCTATCCTGCCTATCAGGGGAGCTTGACATGTGATGTGTGATTTTGCAAAGCAAGTCCCATGAGACTGATACCTCTACCTTAATACCTTGTCTCTCTTAAAGATCTATATATATCCGCAGTAGAGTCTGAACTATTTATGTTAAAATATTATACCATCAAGTAGAAAGTGTATCATCCAGACACCTTTTCAAACTAGCAGTCTTTACTTTTGATAATTTATCTGTTAAAACTATATGTCCCACCTTCCTGGGTCAATTTATTGGGCACATAAGATTATGAAAATTTAGTAAGAATGACAGTCTCTGTAAGATTAGAGGATAAAGAATACTCATGGTCCTCAATTCAAGCCTATCCAGTCCCCAAGATTTATTCGCCTCTACAAGCCCCTTAGCTGGCCACCTATGGATAATGGTCGAGGAGTACAGCAATGTGGACTAGAAAAAAGGTTGAATGGCCTTATATATTATTAGAAACATCGTCATAGGTCCGCCCGTTCTTCTCGATAGTAGATTCATCTGGTCAGTGCTCCGGCATCTGTCATCGCCCAACAGAGGCTCTGTTTCCTCACTGTCCCGTTTTACCTGGCGTCCATCGGTTCTTCTGCAACACACAGCAACACAGAGAAGAATGAATTGCACAGCCGCAAAAGCGCCATTGTCTACGACAGGCCACCCATAATTCCAATTCCATTCAACGAACTCAGAGCTGGAAAGCTTGGGATTCAAATCCAGAGCATAAACAACGCGCCATATCCATGATACCGCGACGAGAGCAAAAACAACAGCTTGGGCAGCTAGACCAAGTACGCTGAGCGCGGACGGCCCTACATGTCGTCGGATTTGAGGCGCCTGGAACACCACCGACAAAATGCCGAGAAATGTGACTATAGGGCTGACAAGGACGACATGGAAGAAGGCGAACATCTGTTGATAGTCTTGTCGTAGCAAGTCATCGCCGTCCTGGATTCCCCCCATAAGATCATACAGCTCGGGGATAACCGAGATGAGAAGGAAAAGTGCGTAGACGACGGGAAACCCGGTGACTGAGCGACCGCTGGGGCGATAGTAGAGACAAAGAGCAAAGCTAGAGAACAGACGTTTGGTCATCAACAGGAGTTGACGCTTATGGATGTATCTTAACCCTTACAGAACTTGAAAAAGAACCCATACTGTTGAGACTTGGGCGAAATTAAGCCAATCGCCGGTACTCAGTGGATGATGGGTGAAGATTCCACCCGCGGATTCGGGAGCGTTAACCATCATGTAAACTTCAAGACAAAACTGCTCTGTCGCGACAATGAGGTTGAATAATACATATCTGAGGGATATGCCGTCGCTGTTCTTTTTCGACCAAAGGCGTTGGAGCTGGGGGAGAAATGAGAGAATTGTCAGGAGGATTAAGACGCTTGAGAAAGGTCAGCCTTTAACCAGGGGTTTGTACGTGAAGAGACGGCGTACAATCTCAGGGAGCTGAGAGCTTCCGTATAGGTCATCGTGGAGAGACTAAAGACGAGAATTTGGAGATGATGAGAGAGATGTTTCTCTCATGTTGTTTTACCTCCCGGAGGTTGTGTTTGACGGTTTGACCATGGGATTAGCGGGGGGCTGACTAATGGCAACCGCCTAGCAGCCTGGGCTTCGTTTGTCCAGAAGGAGCCCTAGGGATATAAATAGCGCTTTAGATGGTAATTGGTAGTCCTTACTAACTTTAATAAGAAAAAACCTCTTAGCCAATTTGGCTTTTGAGATAAACAGCATCAAGACCTCTTTAGTTACTCAGAATTAAGATCACCTGCCTTCTATTTAGAGTTGAACGACCCACACCGGAAAGGGGGAGTACAGGGCTGGATTCTTTGGATCGCCAGTGGAATAGTGGATTCAGGGGCCTCATTAGGGTTGTGGGGGTGTGGATTTACCCGAAGTCCCTGATCTACAGCCCCAAGAGTTAGGGAGCCGACGTCTTACAATATGGAAACCCCTTTCTTATCAACCTGTCAATCTACGACTCAATCCACACGACAAGTTGACTCGTCTTGGAGGTTCTGCCCGAGGTCAGACGGCCCTATGTTGATCCGTAGGGCTGGATGCTAGGGCTAGCCTCGCACCACCTTCTTTCTCTCTCTTGCGATGGCTTTAGGTAGCAATATCACGATATCATTCTCCTGTTCCCTTAATGAACTCGCAACTTATCGACGACCTCACCCCGACTCTACAACTACGATACTACCTGATCCTCTACCGACTTACCTCCCCTAATCATCAACATGACCCAGCCCGCCCCCGTCAGCTTCGACGAGATGTTCGGCCAGACCCCCGGCATTGTTGATTACTCCTACCCTTTCGGTGATGCCTCCACCATCCTACCCGTGCCCGAGGTCACCGATACACTAGGAGAGACCGCCAAGAAGTACACCGCCCTTGCGGAGGTTATTGAGAACGGCAAGAGCGTCGCCGTAGCTACGCGACCCCGAAACCATTGCCATGAAGGCAATGGGCCCCACTGAGGAGATGCAGTACAAGGCGTGGCGCGATGGGGCGGCTATTGCTCAACCCGATTGGGAGACTGCACGCAAAGACGTCCCCACTGGCAATAAGGCCTTGGCTCGTGCAAAACGCCGCAAGGTCGCCATTAATCGCATCTTCAGCCGTGACGACCTGACTGAAGAGAACGTTATGTGGCTTCACACAGAGCGAAAATATATCATCCCCTTGATCACAGCAGTGGAGAAGGTGGTGTCCGCTGAGCGGGATTTGGTTGGTGGCCAGACCGAACTCAGCGAAATGGAGCTTGCCGAAGTTCAGACCCTCCGCCGAATCACTAGCGTGGCCATGGGCAACCTGCAACGCGTATATGAGCGACGCAACATCCTTGCGCGGAAGATTCATTCGGCTCGTGAGGTCTTCCAGGCCCGTGAGCACGCAATCAAATCAAAGATGACTGGCTATAAACGTCGTCAAGACCCTATCAATGAGTATAGGGCTGGCCGTGGACTCCCACGTATCGGGGCTGAATTCGATTATGGCACTGCGACTACCGGAGGTCGCGTTACGCGATCTACCTTGCTTGCGGGCTCCGGAATCACTGGTGGCGCCCGCCCCTCCAAGCGCCTAAGACAGGATGACGACGCCGGCCCCTCCCAGTAGGGGGGCGGCAACACTTCCAGCGATGCGGCCCGCGATGGAAGTGGGAGCCATATTGCATATGCAGGGTCCGACTATCCCGCCTCCTCCCCGAGTCCTCTACGTAACCCCTCCACCCCTCGCCATTCTACCACCCGGAGAATTAGGGGGGGAACAGTTGAGCGCTCCAAGGATGCGAGAATTGTCGCCACCACACAGGAAGAGTTTACCATACACTCTTGATGAATGGCGTGTGCTACCTATGAATGACGCCATCGCCGCCTTTCGCAACCGTGTAGATGAGCCCCTTTGTACGATTATCGGCAATCTGCTACGCAATGGCACCTGTCACCAGGCTTACAACCGTATCATTCAATGGATAGAGGATGTTGGCTGGGAAGAAGCTGGTCGCGTGAACTTGGCGGGCGACGATGAAGATGATGATGGGGATATCTGAGAGGCGTTCTGATTGTTTTAGTTATTAGTTCAGTTACTGGCATGTTTAGTTAGTTATTAGTTATAATTCCACGCGTGCAAAACCACCAAACTCAAAGCCAACACTAGGTATAACTTATGGCAGGGGAGTGCTGTTTGGATCTTATGGGATACGCTGGAGACTCCGAGACCATTGGTTTCAACGACTGCGAACTCAGGTAATGGCCTACTGCCGATTGTAGACATGCTACCTGCAGCCGTGGTTTGGTTTGAGTTATGTGGCCACAAGATTGAAAGTCTTTGCCTCATGAAGTATGATTTTGATAATTCAACCGTTGGTGACCTTGCAAGAGACAATGGTGTTCACCCAACAACTGGATTCAGCAGCTCGCAATGGCTCTTCTGGAAAAGACACTTAGATGAGAGCAGTTGCGACCATGAAGAAACAGCAGCTTTGGCTCTTTGGGGTACCAAGGTAGTGAACCAGCTGAATGATTCCCTGATTAAGTGGTTAAAACTGGCTTGTTGGATTTCTTGGTACTAGAGCCCAGACTGGGCGTCCTATATGTCACGTGAGAGACACGTGTCATGGGCCTGTTCCGTGCCATGACCCCCCAGCAAAAGCAACACCGAGCCTTCTCACCCAGGAAGGCCATACTCTATTGAATCTTCAGAACAGGCTCTCAATCCAGGCGCCCTGCCTAGGATAAGGGACAGCTCCCCCTCCGCGCGCTGCCTGACACCCGCCCGGCA